TACAATTTAATACATCGCGGAGATAGAAGGAGAATAAAAATAGAGAAGAAAAGAGAGAGATTATACTGATTCTTATATGTCATTATATGTAAATATATATTTCTTATTTATATTTGTGATTGGGTGTCTTAAATTAAAGCGAGATATATTTTTGCTGTGATATATAAAAAAATTAATCTTGAAAGAAATAAATCCTGTGTGAAACGGTCCTTTTTATGAAAAATAATAGAAAAACAAAATATGTGAGCAAAATATATTTGATTTTTTTTCTCGTCGATTAATCATGTTTTGATCTTCTGAAAAAGAATTATAAATCATTTTCAAAATTTAATAAATCGCAGAGATAGGAAGAGAAGAAAAATAGAGAAAGAGATTAGACTGATTCTTATATTATTATATGTAAATATAATTTATATTTTTAATTGTGTCTTAAATTTTTAAAGCAAGATATTTGAGCTGTGATATAAAAAAAATTAATCTTGAAAGAAATAAGTTCTGTGAGGCTATCTTCTTTTTATGAAAAATAGAAAACCGAAATATTTGGCTGTGTGTGAATCTTCTTTACAGAACAAACTTATAATCTTTGAATTCATCGTTCTTTGAGTTCTTCATTGATGTAGATATAAATCGTTTATTCCACCATATAAAAATGTGTTAAGCTCAAAGAACGATAGCTTATTTACTCGAGCAACAAGTTTAATATAGCTTTCCTCTCTCTTCTCAAGCTGCCATTTTTTGATCAGATTAAACGCTCGATACATTTGAAGGATTAAGGCGTGGGAAGCGATTCTCTCTTTGCGTGTATATGGAAACTCGAAATGTTGAACTTGGCCGATACCAGTTCGCCCACGAATCGCGAATCGCGTCGAGAGATTTCCTTTCGTGCGTTTCGGAGCAATCGCAGTCTTTTTTTCCTCCAATTCCACGCAATTTATCGCATACTATTACGTTCTCCCGACGACGACGATTCCATTATCACGAGATTTCCCGGTACCGCCACAGTGTCGCACATCTCGATCCTCCCACGCTAAAGTCCACAACTCGCAATCGTGATCTTTTCCATCGAGATCCTGCATACATAAACACATACGTATTTTCTCATCGCATCGCGCCCACTTGCGCTTTCCGAGAAACACGATTCGAGAAATTACATAATACATCACGCGGCAATTTTATTTATCAAATATATCTCCATATATATAATACGCTTGATATATTTAATTATTTTACGCGCGAGAAATTAATTGAAGTAATTATCCCGAGATTTGATTAGACCTCAGGGTACGATCAGTCATATTCGAAATTCTAAATGGAAAGTTGGACATTTCCAATTGAATTAACCGCGCTTTTCATCGCGACTTTCGACGCTCTCGTCATTCGCGGATATCTCATTGGCGCGAGTTTTAATGAGACGCCTCGCGCCATTACGGCTTAATAATCGCGTATCGCGGTTTTTCATCGGGACGGACGTGCGCGAGCGATCGTTAATGCGCGTTATGTAACGCGAGACACTGCGGTTACATTACGAGGCGCTCAGCAGCGACCGCGGAAGCTGATGATGATGATGTGCCACACGAGAACTGAATCATCCGATCGATAGCACGGCAAGTCGGCGACGTATCGCGCTCCGATTAATTGCCGGCTCATTAGTCCCACCCACGCAATTAGAAACTTGCGTGTTCGCGTTCGCCCACTCTCCTCTTTCTCGTCTCATTACGCCCTCAGCTTTCTCTTTCTCTCTCTCTCGAGCGAAGACGTCATAAGTGGTGAGTTGGTCTACGTGACGTCACGATTGTGACGTCAATTCGCGTTGCAATCAGTTCCCATCTATACAAGGTGTTCGAATATCTCAAGTTCTCGATTCTTCAACGGAAGATTTCGAAAAAGTATTATATAATTTATTTATTTATTGAAACAAACAATTTTTTTCAAGATATTTGAACATTCTTCTGACGTCTTGTAATATTCTTCTTTTTTGTCCTTTTAATGGCACTACGTTTTATACCGAGTAAGAACGAGTTTAATGACATATTGCACATATATGTCCAAGGCCGAGATAGGAAGCAAAACAAATATTTATCACAGGAAGGCATAAATTTTTTATGTGACGCGTGACTCGAGCTATTCTCCGGAACGGCGATTCCCCTTTTTCGAAAATAATATGCTCGTCGCAAATCACTGTAGGCTATAAAAACCCGCGCGTGACTTAAAAACAAAATAGATACCTATAATAAAAAATCTATCAATAAAATAAAAATATATCAATAAAAAAAAATACGTCAGTTAAATAAATAATATAAATAAAATAAAAATATACATCAATTATAAAAAGGAGGCGTTATTACGCAACTTTAAGGCTAATATTTTCTCAAGTATTACGAGAAATGTTGAAAAAAAAAATATATATTTATTTCTAATCTTTCTTTCTCTCGCGTACGATTTTGCAACGTATTGCGTATTTATCTTTTAATAAACGTTTAAATCACCATGTCGAGTCCAGTCTCTCGACTTTTTCATCCCGCAATTCACGCGATTCGTATAAGCGCGCTACGTATGCATATTACACTGATATAAAGCGGATGAGTCATTCGACTCAGCAAGAGGAGACGGCGATGACGTATGACCCGTTGATACGTTGCGGCATAGATGCGCATAATATCGAGAGAAAGAGAAGAAAATGCAAGCTGGCAAACGAGAGGCGGACGGATTGGAAAAAGGAGCAAAACGCGACGCGAAACCTGCTAAGCGTTACAGGCTGATGACGCCGCACTCTGTTTACGGCAGTGACGTAGATCAGTTACACACAAACGTCCTGTGTGCGTCATTACGCAATGCGAGAACCTACCTACCTACCGTGACGGAATTCCATGACCAGCTGATCGAGCGTTTTGCGTCTTCTCGCCATTAATTGTAACACTACCCTTTTCTTGCGCGAGTCCTGCAAAAATAGATAAAAGCTTGAGAATACCCGGCGTTGATTACCGTGAATTTTTTTAATAAGCGAAAAATGTATAATACTATATAATAATCTTCAACTCTATAATTTTTGTATAAAGAGAGAGAAGTTTTGTATAAAAGTTTAGAAATCGAACATTTGTTTCGATTATTATATAGGTATTTAATTTTGCAAAAATTTCTTTCTTTCGATATATAAACTTCCTGATACTCTTTTAGAAAGAATTGTGTTATTATTGATAAATGTAGGATACGTTTGATGAAAAATATTGTGATTACGTGACTTCTCTTATCTTTTGCTTGATAAAATAATAATATCTATATGTGCTACGACAGGATAGAGAAAGATGAGTTTTCATCTGGAACTCGGATGATTTGATGACTATGACGTAGCTGTGTTTACCGCGATAACACGTAAAGCCGTTATCCACCTTTGCGTCATTACATAATGCAAACGTGACGAATGTATCACGGGTGAAAGACATTCGGAAAACTTGTGATTAATACATCATAATGAAGTATCTTTGATTTCGAACAACTTTGACGCTCAACTTTTTCATTCCTTGTGCAACTCGATGCGAATTTACGCGAATTAATGAACGAGATAGCAAATCAGGAAATTGCTGAAACTGCGACAACATTTGCAAGCAACATTAATAATCTTGTCAATGTGAAAGAAGCGATAATAGAATAAGGGAAATAATCATTTCCACATAATTGATGAACGAAACGCACGATAACAGTTGGAAAAATATTCTATATCGTAGGAATTTATTGCTGTCCATCTCTATCTCAAATGTGATATTTTTGATATAATGGAATCTTATCGTGAACACAGGCACGTGAAAGATTCGATCGCTCGTTATCTCTCGATTTGAATATATTACGTTGTAAGGCGTGAATTAAGAATTTTGCTTTTTATCGGAGCATGCAGAAAATTCGTAGATTTGAGATTCTCCTCGCGATTAAATTCGAAGAATATTAGACGACAGATTGGCACGATTTGTTTCTTATTCTCTTATATCAGCTGTCAAGTGTTGCTTGATCACGGTTAATGTGTTAAAAAAAAATTGAAGCAAGTGTACTCTAGTCGTTCGGTATGCAATACTTGCCATTCGATATCATTCAAACATTATTCAAAACATTTGCAGGTATTTGTTTGCACGATAATACATGACTCATCTACACTCACGCTCGTTAGACACGAGAACTGTTGGAGGAAATATATATTTCGTGTAGTTATCGCAAAAACGATGGTCAACTTCAAAATAAATTTGCATAACATTTCGTTTGATTATCCATACCAGCTCATTTGTATGATTTATATTACTAAAATGATCGATTCTCTAATTAGATAATTAAGTTATCGTTAGTTTCTCTGAATAAACAAATTTTAATTAATTTGTAAACTTTCAAAATAAATATTTCCTTGACGCAATAAACATTCCTTCGTTACTTGAAAGTTAATGTGAGAAGCTATTAACGTTAAACAGTTTCTTGAGGTATTTCCAAATCGTGTGCGGTATCGATTCTTTTCATTTGAAGACTTTCTCGTCCGGTGAAAGTACAGATTTCGGCTCGGATAATTTAAGCTCCCATTCATCGGGGAATGAAATATATACACGGATTTGTGAATGATCCGATAAGATCCGTCTTACGAGCGTTTCCCGGAAGATCGATTTCTCGAACGTATCGCTCGAGTATCTGGTGAATCATCACTGGAAGCCGGAACTAGCGAACGTAGATCGCGAACAGGTCCTGAATGAAATTTTCTCAGAAGTCGCGACTCGTGTATAATTTACTACAATGGCGATTTATTCACATTCTACCTGACTTCCGCGAAAATACATCGACCGTACGAATTTTCGAATCATTTAATTACATTCATAAACGGGATAGCAAGATCTGCATTCTCTGGTTTTTCTGCGGTTAAAGTTGAGGAAAAGTACGCGATTTAGACGAATTATTCTAGATTTTTTGTTGCGAAATTAATCGTAATGTTTATTGTCGATTTCTGATGTGATTGCAAAATAATACCAGCTATATAAGAATAAAATTACGCATTTTAATACATGCATATGTTATTCCGTTGTTCGATAAGTCGTAGTTTCTATGATTTCATCGATTGTTCACTTTTTTCTTTAATGTACTACTAGCCATTGAATCGTGTATAGTCGTGTATCATGTATAATCAATACAAAGCTGCGCATATAATTGTCGCATAAGTGCATTCGATTACTTCTGTCGTGAAGTGCTCGTTGCAACTGTATAAGCTGTATGCAGATTTATACATGACTCTACTATCGAAACATTCGCACATAAACTCCAACGTTCACAAAAAATTGAACGTTGGATGAAAACAAATCTGTGATGTAATTTGCAAGAAAAAGTGATATCGATATTTCTTATCCAAATTAAAATATTTGCTTTCGAACGGAAAATTAATCTCCAATGTACGAACAGCTGATTTATCCGAATTCTTTCGTTCTAACCGAAAGTTTCCATGTACATTTTCACACACTGTTAAATACGAAAAGATTCAATTTAAACCAATTTCTTGACTTAAATTTGTTTAACTACCACATGTATCAAATTTATTATTTCAACAGAAAATATATATAATTAAAAACATTTTTTATCAAGTCAAAGGGTTACATTAACTTATACACCTAGTAAATAATAAACTAAATTTTAGTCAAATTTAACACATTTTTTAAATTAACTCCATTTAACTCCATTGTTTTAGTTAAATTAACAATAACATATCGAGGGATGGTTAAAAATAACTCAAATTGGGTGAAATTTAACACGATGAATTTAACAGTACCGAAGAATGTAAAAGAGTTCCGATGTTACAGGATCCACGAAAGAATGTATGAAAGGAGACCAACGGGGATTTCCATTGAAAATCTTAGCGGCGGTCCTTGAAGAGGGAGAAAGGTCCTGAATGAGCGGGCGTTCGACAAAAAGTAGGTCCACATATTTCCTTGAGCGCCAAGAATGCGCGCAACGTATACGTGTGCGTGCGCGCGCGCGCGTGTGTGTGTGTCGACTGGTATGTGAGTCATCCAGGTAAAGACGGCGGGGATTGCGAAGAGTGATCAACATTCTCGGAGCAACCCCATGAGTCACCGGGTCGCGCGCGCGTCTCCATCCCCTGAGTCGCCTACCTGCCGCCACCTGTTGCTGCTGCACTCGGTTTCTAGGTCGCCTTTAAGTTTTAACCTGCGTCTTACCTCACAAGCTGCGTGCGTTCACCTGAGAAGAACAGTACATGTAATTTATCATATACGGTAAAGTGAAATATGGAGACCATTTCTCTTAAGAATATCGTATCTGTATGACAGAAGGAAATCGAAGCACCAACTGATGCTTTCTTGGTCTTATTATTCCGTCTATAATTTATTTATTTTGCTAGATTCAAATATTGTTATATTGATTAATACAATACTCAAATTTAAGAATTGAAAAGAATATATCTTTACACATAAAAGGAAGTTATCTTAATGGAACCAAATTTTTTTAACAGTTATTATCGTTAAATTATCAGATTATTTGATTTTTATCACTGTTGGCAATATTATATTAAATGCATACATCATATATGTCTCATGACGGAGTAATGAAATTATTCTCAATCTTGACATTATATCATGTCACATTTTAAGATCAGAAATTAAGTTTCTATATAGAAAGTTGTGTTTTAACACTTGATAAGGGCCGAAACCCATGGCCGAAACGTCGTGAATATTAAATAAAGATTATTAAATAGCCAGAGTTGGTTGATTAAATTACTACCATTTTTGAAATTATTCTCGTGTAATTTTTGTAAAATCCCGCATTTTTCCGCCTGCCGGTTTTTTTCACACGAGAGAACCGTCTCGTGCATGCGATGTCGCGTTCGGTGGGCGGATCGATGACCTTGAAATGAATCTCGTAACAGTGTGTCGCTATGAGTCACATTGCGGATCCCGAACTTTCCGAGCGGAGAGACGGCCAGGATCAATGCCGGAAGAGGAGCTTTCCTCGCTCGTAAATTACGTGAGTCATCCTGGTCCACGTGTGCGGGAATCCGCGACAAGTTCAGCGAGTTAGTTAGTTTCTTCTCCGTCGATTGCGCAATATATAAAGCGGCAAAGTTCGACCAAGGTGGGGGATCACAGCCGACAAATTGCCGCTCGTCGAGCTCGAACGAGATTGCACAAAGTTTTCTCCGAATCGCTTTATTTGCCTCCGAGATAACTCGAATCCACGAGAATTTTTCATTTTATTCGCGCACGTATGTCACGCGAGATTATCAAATGGTTGCTGACTGAATTTTTACAATTATTGACGGTGTGTGATTCATTTTATTTTATTATCAAATGATTGAAAAATTGGTATTGATGTATCAATCCGCCAGTATAAATGTAAAACCAGGAATTAAGTATGTAATCATAAAAAACGATCAATACTGGACAAATAATTTCTTTATTGAAATCAAAATAACATTACGTTTCGACCTGTGGTTTAGGTCGTTTTCAAATGCAGTAATAAAATAATTGAGATGACATAACAAGTACAGGGATGAGAAAAAACTTATAACATATCACAAATATAAAAATATATAAAATTAAACGTTGTGTCTAAAAAGACGTCTCGTCAGTGTATATTATTTTATTATATTTTCGGATCAGTTTTTATTAAAATGTGATTTTTCACGTTTAAATTGTTATTATACAATTTTTTGTCTCGTCATCTATTTTTAATATGTGTCTCTTTCATTTTTAGATATGTTTGATAAATTTATATTTTCTCAAAATCATATCTGCTTATAAAGTCTGAAGAAATAATGCGAATTCGAATTTATCGTTATGCTGGAAAAATCTACGTTTACATACGTAACAGATAAATATTATCTTCGAGATTGCCTTTTTTAAAGCTGCTTTTCTACTATCGAAATGTTTTGCTTTTCTGACAGTATCCATTCTAACGTGTCATTAGCAACATTTTTGTTTTATCTCATCAATTTTAATCAAATGAGATAAAAGTAAAAATGTATGTTATGAATTAGTCATCATAAATGCTTAAATGGGCGATTAATAGTGCCTTGAATCACGAAATGTGAGAGAAACTCGTGACTGACAGATAACGCACGTGGATGTTCAAGTGCTATCGTTCGTAATATATATAATAATCGATTTGAATCGAAGAAGATAACTATTTGAACCGACTAGAATCCTTTCATCCAACGTCGCGTTCGTTTCTCTGTCGCTCGTTTAAAGTCGATTGTTTGCTTTAAGATAAAATCGATGGAGGGACATTCAAGACCAGTTCTGTCGCTTTCGACTCTCGATCCTATGGAATGCTTTTATGTCAAATGTACAAAGTGCAATCGTTGCGACAGGACTGCGACTAGATTTATCCCTGATCTGATTTTTCTACTAATTATGCTATATTTTTATTACAGCTGTCACATATAGTCATCTTTAGTAGCTCACAAAACAAGAATTAAGTAATATATAAAATACGTTAGAACATTATATCATGTATAAAATTTCAGAAAATTATTACATTTTTTTCAGATAAATTTCTTAATGAAACATTACATATGTATATGTATAGTGGATTAAAAATATAAAAATTATTTAATTTAATTATTGTTTTACATTCAAACATAGAATATTTATATATTATATTTTATATATTGCATTATATAGTTTATTTATTATAATAATTATGCACATATAGAAACCTATATGTAATTTCTTAAATTATTTACGAGGAATGAAATGTAAAGCTGTTGCAGAATTGATGCATCAGACTCACTGCACCATCTGGTGTTGTAAGAGTCAACCTAGACATACACATATATTTAATGCAGTTTCCTATGATATCTTATTGTTAATTATAAATGTTTTTTAACATTTAAATAGAAAAATATTTTTTTAAATAATTGTTTATATATCAAATGTTACCAAAATAATAGTTATTAAAACTAATATAAACTATTTATTATTATTTTACTTATAGATAAAATAAAAACAAATAATAACATAAACTAATAAATAAAACTCATAAAATAATAAATATTTGAAATATATATTTAAACAGAGTTTCTTATATCTTATTTATTGTATATATGTATAAATATATTTTAAATATATATAGAGTAATAAAAATAATACAAGAAATTATTTATATATAATGCATTTCTATTTATATATATTTTATATTTACAGTATTATTAAAAAATTTAAATTGTAACATAATTATAATACAAAATATATATATATACATTTGTAGCAATTGTCGCCAACGTTTTCTGCTGAGAAAAGTGTCAAATGATAAAATATCGATTATATATCTCTATAATATATATAAATACCAAACGTGCTTCTAGATTTCAAAACAGTCCTGGTAACATTTTTTATCGTTTGGATAAAAATTACACAGGTTCTTAAGTTTAATCTTGATTAAACTGTCGAAAGTTTAAGCAATAATAGTTTTGTATTTAGAATCTTCTTTTCATATTTTAATAGAAAGTATCCATATTTTTGCGAATTATTGCACATCTTGATAATAATGACGATTGAATATGCTCTTGAACAGAACGCAGAGAATAATCTTCTAGGATTAAAATGTCGAAAGTTCAAACGGTGATTTTATTTATTAGCTTATAGTCGAGAAAGGAGCGAGTGCCAACGTAAATAATAATTAAGCTCCTTGACACGTGCAAATTTTTAGCTTTGTCTGCCCAGATACAACAATTTTCATATGAATTATTTTGCAGTGCACAATTGTTAATTTTTTCAAACATTTATTACTAAAAGAGACACTTGCAATGTATTCATATTGTAAAATTTATTTCTCTAAACTTAATATTCTGATGTAATGCATGTAATTTATAATTTTAAAATAGTTTTTAAAAATAACTTTTAGAGAAATAAAAATCTTTTCATATTATTATCATAATAAATTTATCATATTATTCAAATGTAAAATTTATATGATTTGATTTAAAAAATTTTATATCATTTTATTGCGCCCCAAAATTTATTGCAGGGATCAAGATTTCTTCCTTTATGTCATAGGTGACCGAATCTCATCTTGAAGAGCCAACTGTATGTCGAGAACTGGTACGGGTCGAGAAGGTGGGTCCGATAGAAAGTCGTTCACATAAAGTTCGGAAATAGAACGGCTTGCGAAAGATTGCTTTCGAGACGGTCATAAAAATTGTAGAACATAAACAATATTGCCCAAATGTATATTATTTAATGCTAGTACTAAAGTGGAAAATAAAGTAGGAATTATATTGATTTTTCTGTTGTTTTCCAGCAAAATATGCAGTAAGCCTGTGTGAATCTATACATATATGTATTTATATATTTATTTATTAATTGTATATAACATTATGCAAATTCATGTTAAATTTAAATTAATAAGTAAACAATAAGTAAACGAGAAATAAATTATATTACATTATACAAAAAATATTAAGAATCGCTTATACCTATATTATAAGAAAGCTCTTGGTAAAGGAAATAAATGTTTATAAATTTAATTGTTATAAAGCTAAATATCACATATTTTACACATGTCACGTAGCACCCTTCACTCTTTCGATTATAGCAAATCGCGAGAAATATTACGGCAATTATTGTATTTTGACCTGCTGCATTCGCGTAAGATGTTATCGTCTAATGATCGTTGCTGATAGAATCGTGACAACATAATAACATATTTCCAGTTGGAAAGCAAAGCCGATGAGTTCTTTTCGTCATTTCCCAAGAACCGTAATCTTTATCCAATTTGTTCTCATGATCTGATGATATTTTTATTTGAGTGGCATATTTGTGTTCTATTTCGATACGATCCAGGATACGTTGGGTCTCTATATACCCGGAAGAATACGAGAATGCAGGTAATTTTTTGACACGCTTCACGGACGTTGACAGCAAGCTATTACACCTGCGTTAATTGAGTCTCCCAAGGAGCGCCTAATCAACAAGCGAGAGTAGAAAGTACATATCGTAACTCGTAAAAAGCTCGTACATATAAAAGGAAGTTTGCAATATAAATAAAAAATTGTAATACGCTTCAATTTTTTGCATTTTTTTAACAAAATAATAATAACAAAGACAGAATTATCTTCTTTTTTATATATCTTTTTGTGCAAAAAATGTTAAATTAATTATATGTGGGAAAAGACAGATTATGCAATTTATATTTGAAGCAAAACAGATTTGATTCTATAATATTACAGTATATACATATAGAGATACATTGATATATTACTTCGCAGGGTGATTGTAAGCTGAATGGCGTAATGAATGCATCACGTCTCATTTAATAAATAAAAAATCCCTTTTTTATCTTGTTCAATATTGATCTAATTAAAGGCAAATGATTTCGAACCCCAGAGATCTCGATTACTTCATTGGTCATCATGCGATGAACGCTTTCACAAGAGAGCGGAAATTGCAAATTTGCGTAAACTTATGGCAAATGCAGTCTGCTTTCAGCGGGGAAAACATCTCGGACGTAATGGTATCGATAATTATCAGATCCAGTGAAATTAGCTGATGGCTCATTACACGAGTTTCTCGATTCATCACAGCTCGTTAAGGTACTTACGCACCGTAAACGCATCCTACTCGATTATAATCTGCGAAAACGTATACGCAATATCATTTGAATTTTGTTGAATGCCGCTTTTCGCCATGTTTCTGATCGTTTATTCGACATATATGATTAATTATGAAGGAAATGACTCTTCTATTTATGTATGTATGTAATGTGCAGCCACAGAAAAAAAATCACTTCACTATTTTTAACTATATCTTTCAAAAAGTGTTTTTTTTTATATTGTTTCTAAAATATTATATTTTTTTTATCAAGAAATAATCTAAATTATTTGGAAATAATTTTAAAAATTGTATTATAGATTATTTTTTATATATATTCAATACAACTATTATTATAAATTATACTATTATTATTATTATTATTATAAATTATATTATTATAACTATTATTAATTATTAATCCGATAATTAATTTTGGTTTTAATTGTTGAATGCCGCTTTTCGCTATGTTTCTGATCATTTATTCGACATATATGATTAATTATGAAAGAAATGACTCTTCTATTTATGTATGTATGTAATGTGCAGCCACAAAAAAAATTACTTTACCATTTTTAACTATATCTTTCTCAAAAAGTGTTTTTTTATATTATTTCTAAAATATTATATTTTATCAAGAAATAATCTACATTATTTGGAAATAATTTTAAAAATTGTATTTTATAAATTATTTTTTATATATATTTAATACAACTATTATTAGAAATTATACTATTATTATTATTATTAAATTGAATACTTAAAACGTCGCTAGTGGTATTTAAAATAGGAACGATATATTTAATTTGACCCAAACTAGCCAAGAAAATTTTTATTTTATTTCCACAACATTTCGACCATCTGTTTTTGGTCCTTTTCAAGTGAAAAATTCCTTGATAAAAGCGCAGTTAGTTGACACTGTTGTCATGATTATTAAACAATATGATTATCGGAATTTTTTAAAAACATTTGAAATAACTTTTGAAAGAAAGTAACCGCATCTTATCGTTATGATGGATCGTCAAAAAAATCGTTTTTATCAACTAACTGCGCTTTTATCAAGGAATTTTTCACTTGAAAAGGACCAAAAACAGATGGTCGAAACGTTGTGGAAATAAATTAAAAATTTTCTTGGCTAGTTTGGATCGAATTAAATATATCGTTCCTATTATTATTATTATTATAAATTATACTATTATAACTATTATTAATTATTAATCCGATAATTAATTTTGGTTTTAATTATTCAATTAAGCGATTGAGAATCGTTTCAACATCGTCTTGATGTTGCTGTTCACTTGACATAATATGGCTTGAAATCGAAACGCAAAAAAGGAGTTGCATGTCCGCAATGATATTTCGCTGTCGGTTTACTTACGACTTCTCACAGCGAAGAAAGTCTCCATGGAACTTCCCTTTCAAGCTACGTCAGTTTATATATACGTGAGTTGCAAACAGGGTCATGCCGATGAAAGTCAATAATAATGCTTGCTTGAGCAAATATCGGCATCTTTTTTGATTTGCATAAGCAAACGCGCGCTGTATCGCTTATAAAGGGGCGCGCTAACGAACGTTAATAAATTCTATCCTTGACGAGACCATTACAGCCACGGACAGATCGCCATCCTTGGCGAAAGGACTTTTTCCCTGTCTCTGTGTACCGCTACCTGATTTCGTAGGATAAGAAAACCGCTTGTTTCAGACATTCTAATGTCCCTCGTTTCCTGCGGTTTAGCTCGTCGGGAATTATATGCGGCTAGCCACTTAACCACCTTGTCGGTTACAATTCCATTAACGTCACGGTACAATGTCCTGCGTGATCTATAATATATCCTTGAATAGGCTTTTCTCCGCCGAACAAAAGACTCGAGAATACACGAATGAATCAGAACCTTTCTAATACCTCCGTGTTTCCCGTTTATTCGAATTATATACAATAATGTATAATACGTTCAAACAGCAAGCTTACAAAAATATCTATACGCTTTATACTGATTTCGAAAATATTAAATTCGGCAAATAAATTTCAACAAGTACGAGTATATAAAATATATAAAATCAAATTGAATACTTAAAACGTCGCTAGTGGTATTTAAAATAGGAACGATATATTTAATTCGACCTAAACTAGCCAAGAAAATTTTTATTTTATTTCCACAACGTTTTGACCATCTGTTTTTGGTCTTTTTCAAGTGAAAAACTAGAATGGTACAATTAATTAAAATTAATAAACATTTTTTATGTTAAACGCAAGAATTAAAAATTTTTTTTTTATATAAGCGCAGTTAGTTGACACTAGACAAATAATCATATTGTTTAATAATCATGACAACAGATGGTCGAAACGTTGTGGAAATAATATAAAAATTTTCTTGGCTAGTTTGGGTCGAATTAAATCTATCGTTCCTATTATAAAATATATACTATATTATTTTGAACGCACGTCGGATTTTACGTCGAGTAATAATACTCGCATGAAATGTGTATAGAAAGCGAAATAAATAACGTGTAATGGAACAATAAATTTTCCCGAGATACAAATTATCAAAGAGTTTCCATTAGAGTTTCGTAAGACGTTCCGCAAAAAAAAAAAAAATCGCGAGATTCCATCTTCGGCGTTCGAGCTTTATGTAAACGAGCATTTTATAATTACGCCTTCCTACGGATGCATGATACATGCGTATGCGCGTTCGCGTGATGCAAGATCGCACAATAAGGCCTATTTGCCATTAGAGCAGACGCGCGGCTTGCGCGTTATAACGGTACCGTTCTGCATGAAAGTGCGCGTGGTTATCGTAAATGGTTGCGCTTGCCGTTTCGTAGTGAGTCCCCTCTGACCGGAGGATGAGAAGCGGGCGAAAGGTACGTGCGCGAGCATCTCACCATCCATCAGCATCCCGCCGCGCCGCTGCGCTGTTACGTGAGAATGCAACGCGCGTGTATACCCACTGACCGGCTTCGCGTAACGTTTCGCGGCAGGCACGGATTCACTCTCCCGTCATTCTAAGAACGTAAACATTCGGAGGAAAAATTAGCTCCGTACAGTAGTTTGGAAACACCGTACACTGTAAAAAAATTTTGTAAAATTATATAAATAATAAATGTAAAATTACACGATAAATAATGAAAAGGTAAACATTTTTATTATTTATCGTGTAATTTTACACTTATTATTTATGTAATTTTACATATTTTTGTGTAATATATTACATATTTTTTTACAGTGTAAGGTGTTTATATATTCTTGTATGTTACGAATATCGAATTAAAGAATATTTCTTTAGAGAAGTTTTCTCTTCGATTAAGAGGATCCTTTTGACAGATCTGTGCAGATTTTTTGTATAAATCATAAAATAAATATAAAATATTTAAATGACATTTTTATTTATAACAGATCACTGCCGTGCAATTTTTTAACTGTAAAATAAAGAATTGCATGGCAGCGATCTGTTATAAATAAAAATGTCATTTAAATATTTTCTGTTTATTTTATGATTTATTTATACAAGAAACCTGCACAGATCTGTCAAAAGGATCCTCTTAATTTAAGAGAAAAATTCTCGAAAGAAATATTCTTTAATTAGATATTCGTAACATGCAAGAATATAAACTTAATGGAATATTTTTTGCATGGCAGCAATCTGTCATAAATAAAAATGTTATTTAAATATTTTAGGATTTATTGATACGAAAAATCTACACAGATCGCTGCCATACGATTGTTTAACTGTAAAATGTAAGGTGTTTCCAAACTTATGGAGAGTACTGTATAAGAGAAAAATTTTACACTGAAAAAATTATTAAATTAACAAATATTTATTTCAATACTGCCTATAAATCATTTATTTGAAACAAATAAATATTTTTTCACATCAAATCAATATTATAATATTAATTTCAAATAAATAATTTATTAGACAGAATTGAAATAAATATTTATTTGAATTCAATAAAAAATGTTTTTTGGTGCAAATATCCTTTTCATTTTATCAAGAAAAATAAGCATTAAATATATATAATCCATTATAAATTTATTTAATAGAAAAAGAATGATTAAATATTTAATATAAAATTAAATATAATAAGAGAGAACATTTTTAATGTGCATGTAAAACTTATTAAATTTAAATATCTTTATGAAACACACATGGGTACAGAGGGGTGCAAGAGAGAGCATTTACCCTCCTTGGAATCAGTAAAAAAATTAAGCATTTGCTACCTTTTGAATAAACACTAAAATTTATTTGCATATTTAATATAAAAAAATGAAAATAAAATAACAAAAAATTAATTATGGCCCTTCTGGAAAAAATTCTGCGGCCGTTCATGGCATCAAAAATCTGTCATTATTCTGCAATGCCTGTGTATCTCGTAAATCTGTCGAAATCTCTCCGCATGTGTATTAATGGTGCGTACGTGTTGAAATGTACGCTCTAATTTTAGTGCCTGAGGTTTGCTACGCAAAAAGCATCCCTCCTCGTTGTTAAAAAAAAATTTAATTAAACAAAAAAGCCTCAGCGCGCTTCGGGCGAGAGTCACGCGAGTGTTCGTTTAATTAAGATACCAATCGCCAGCGTTAACTAGATATGCACGAGAGGCAGCGAGAGGCTGTAACCAGCGGCCTCGAAAAGTCGCACGCACCCGGTGAAAATATAGCGTACGCGTATATATATATATATATATATATATATATATATATACGACTTGTTGCGGTCACCTCGCGGACTTTGAAGAGGAAAGCCAAAAGTGGGAGAGACGAGATCGCCGCTTATGCAAAAGGCGAAAACGGTCACGTGTATATGGTATCGCGAATCGAGGCAATGTCATCGAACTTATATAACGTGTCGCTTGATTTCAATTACACATAGCTTTCCACGTGCACATATTATCGGCTTTAAGTCCTCACCGACGCGGTATAACTTCGCTTTCTACATTCAGAAACATCGACGATTTCATATGTAGCGTATTTATGGACCACGTACGTAATGAAAGTTTTTTATCCAAACATATTTATTATAGATTTATATTATTTTTTTATTTCCCCATAAATAAGCGCGCGAGCATCCGAATATCCGGTTAATAAGGATATATAGGAAACGCGATAATCGAGTATTGACGTATAGCTAGATATATCGTCGAATTTAAGATACTCGATACTACGATAGAGAAAATCTAATTTGCATGGGTCAAGACTGAATTTCTCCCGTCTTCCCATCGAGGAGGAACTGGATCCTCCTGAATACGCGCGAAGAGATTCCGGCGAGAGGTGCGACTCGCGCGGAATTCCTCCTTGCGCGAGGGATGGCCCCCGTAGATAGGCGCAGGTGAGAGGCCTCCTCGAGAAGAAGAAAGGTAAGAGGTCCCACGATCTCTCACGGGATCCCTACCGCGCCGGCCGGGCCGACGAGGAGACGCGACCGGCTCGAGAGGAAGAGCGAGTCCGAGGAGTCGGAGTCGAGTCGAAGGGATCGCGTCGACGTCGAAGGTGCGCACAGTGCATCCGTCGTTGCTTTTCACGGTGGACGAGCGTAATCGGAGCCACCGTCCACCGCGACAAAATGCCCAAAATTCGCCTGTCTACTCTGTGTAAGTGTCCACGTGCGTGGGAAAGTCTGGGCTGGAAAGGGCTCCTTCAAACCAAAATCGTGTTCGTTTAGTTTGATCGCGTGTTAGTTTACCGCCACAAGCGGATAAGAGTTATATATGTATATATGTCAAACGCGGATTCATCATCGATCAAGATTGAATTTCTTGACAACGTACATCGCCGGAGATCGCAGTTTGAACCGGCAAACGGAGAGGTAACGAAAGTGCCGGAGTGAGTTTTAGTTATGAGACTGTGGGAACTCGATGACTCGGGCAATCGGACAATGACTCATGCACTCGCGAAAATTTCCGACGATCGAGATCGTGATATGATATGAGACATTGTGCCGTGAAACAAATGGTTCTTCTAGTATTCTAGCTATATCCCATATTTATATCTTCTCAGTTATTCGGATAGAGCGGTGATTTTATTTTATTGCTAATCGTTAAGAATCCTTGATAATTGATAGTTTATTGAGTACTTTGCCCAAACAGTTGTTTAATTAAATTATTACATTATTTATTGCATGTTATATATTATATATAAATATATATATATTATATATAAAAAAAATACATAATTTTAATTATGCATTTAAATCAGAAAACCCAAAGATTTGGATTTCGCTTTGATTATATGTATTGTACTCTAATTTTTACTTAAAATTTTTAAATAATTTTTTAAAATACAATATAATAAATTAAATTGACCTTTAATTACTCGTGAGATAAAACTAAAGTTTCATGTGACATTTATAGGAAGATTTTAAGTGCTTCCTCTATCCGCGATATACGCGTACGTTATGTAACGCTCGATCTCTCGACGCCGCTTCGCACGTTTTCGCCGGTAGCAGCCTTAATCAATCACTGGCGCGCGCGTTATAATTAAAGAGACCACTCATTTACGTTCGCCGCGACAGTTCATTCACGTGAACTCGCGATGACGTTTACGCAACGCTGCTAAAAGCACGTTGCTAAGACAAGACGCTCATAAAATGAATCATTTTACGACGTGTATATAGGTACCCCAAAGTCTTACATGGTCTTTTTGTCGCGATTTCGGCAATCAGTTCGCGCGTCCATTTACGAACGTGCCGTGTAAATCGGCGGTAATTACCGTGAACAATTTTGTTACCCGCGCGTGAAATGTGTCAGCATTTTGATTTAATGCTATTGAACGTGACAAATGATAATAATGTCACGCGGATTCGCTGACTGCTGTCAAATGAAATTTCTGTATCCTCGATTTTATGCAGGTTTATCAATCTCGAATTTTTAATCGAAAAGTCTGTTTAAATCGAGATATCTCTATTAAGAGGAACATCGATATATAACTTTATTATAATTACTTTTGCTAATTACATATATACTTTTTATTAATATTTCAATGAATTAGATACGGAGGTGTAAATGAGTCACAAAAATATGAATTCTTTATTCATTTGTATCTGATCTACATGCAAATAATTAATTTTTACATCAAGATCTTTAGATGTAAAATATTATATAGTAAAATAAAATCAACAGGAAAATGTTTTTGACTTATTTTGACTTATTCGATGTTCAAATTCCAAATATACTTTACAGATGTTCAAAGATTATTATTAGTAATCCGTTATAGGTTTAAACGATTGTTCGGAATAAGGTAATTTAAATATTAATTTGCGAAATCCGATTTATCTCGAGCGACGTGGGTATATTAAAAGAACGTTCGAGAAGGCACTTTCGCCATCGAAAATTGACGCCGCTAATTACTCGGCTCTTCTTGCAACTCGATACATTCTCTCCCAGAAGATCGCGCGTGCACCTTTTTCAGATCATCTGACCGCTAATTGCGCGATGAGTTAAACAGAAAATAAAATTCACGGAGACTCTTCGTAGATCGAGCGATTTGTAACACTAGCAGAGTTAAGCGCGCTCTATCACGACCACCGGGCTTTGTCCTGCTCATTCTACGTGGCCTTTGCGTCTTTTTAATGTCATTGATGACGTTGAAAATGGCAGACACAATGGGTGAGCACGTGTGTTCAAGAACATCGCGGGATTGTCGGCCTTTCAAAAGATTTCACGTTTTGCTGACTATTATGAGTAATAACAACGAAATTATAGACATTGAATTCTTGACAGCTCTATGACAGGCATGTAATAGTGCATTATTTGAGTTATGCGTTACAACTCGCATACATATGATTATATATATAATAAAATCAACACCTTGACTTTTCTGCGGATCAAAGGAAAAAAATAATGCAAAACGTATGAAAGGAAGAATAAATTTGAGAATAAAATATTAACCAAATATTTAGCATTATTTTATATACAATGTTGCAATTTTTTTCGCAGAAATAATTTTAACAAAATCAGTTCTGATCGACTTGGCAATAAACATTTTCATCCTTTCAACATCGAGTTTTTGCTTGCGCTTTTAATTCAAAGAGAAAAGTCACCAGGAAATAAAATAATTTGTCATACAGTCGAGCAGAAGATGTAACTTCATCATCAACAAATATCGTTGACCGTTCGAATGGTCAGTAAGAGTCCTCAAATCATATTACTTGCGTAATATTAAATAATGTTTTATAATTATGTAATAGTATTGCATAATATGCAGTAACAATTATCTTGAGTTGCGCTCTTTGAGATGCATCAACCGCATAAGTATCTACCTTGCCTTTTCAGGGAAAATCCGATTTTACCGAGTTGAGAGAAACGCGAAATTATCCCAACTGTGATAATAACATCGTTTGATGCGCCGCTTAAGATCGTTCTAAGCTTAAATGTGAATTACGAGATAGAAACAAACTTGTTTGCCGCGAGAAATTCAGCAGAGAGAGACGTTATTCTCGTAGAGGAGTCTCGGGTTCCCTTCGGAGTCAAACCGATGTGTAGTCGTGACGACGAGGATCGTTCATGGTCAATCGTGGATTACGGGCTTACCTTGTCTAATCGATTGTAGAGCGCGTATCGAATTTCAACGTGGCCTTAAAAGTGCAACCGTGGAGGAGACGATCTTTGACATCCCGAGCGACCTTTCACGCCACGTTCCTTCGATTACGAAACCAAAATCGAACAATATTCACAGCGCGAGTTTCTCTTCAGCATTATGTATTCACGAACAATCAAAATTCGCAGGTTTCATACATAGGAAAAAACCAGGAACGCCTTTCCTTATTTATTAGTGAAACCTTCAATTGAATTTCATTTGAAAATATTTCTATTTTTTTATATAAAAAGATATATTATTTTCAATGCTCTTAACTATTTTAATTTATTTTAAAATTAAAAATATATATAATGTATTTTATAAATCATGTATCCTCTATATATAATGTTTTCTCTATATATATTTTTATATTTTTTATAAACATTTTTTCCAAATAATTTAACATTCTTTATTAATATTTGAAGCGTATTAATCGTCATGTGCAAGTCAGTTGAATTTCATTTGAAAATATTTCTATTTTTCTATATAAAAAGATATATTATTTTCAATGCTCTTAACTATTTTAATTTATTTAAAAATTAAAAATATATATAATGTATTTTATAAATCATGTATCCTTTATATATATTTTTATATTTTTATAAATATTTTTTCCAAATAATTTAACATTCTTTATTAATATTTGAAGCGTATTAATCGTCATGTGCAAGTTTTAAGGTCTTTGACATTTTGATAGCCTCGTTTCGCACAAACTATAATATCCATTCAAGTATTCCGCGAATAATCTAACAATAAGAACATTATTCATGTAGGTCTTGTAACGGCGGTCTTGTACAACACGGTCGAGCGAAGTCTTGAACATGAAATTCCTCGGAGGAGCTTCCTGTCACGCAGAGCGATTGACGGAACTAGAGGAAGGTATATCCCCCAGCAGTACTTTCCATATGCTTTATTACATGTTGCGAATTGGTTAAATGGTTTACCTTTTGCAGGAAATACTTCGATCCGAATGAGGACGGCTCATTCGACAGCTACGGATCCGCAGGCGGCGAATATGATCCGTACGATTATGTGACAGGTGAGCAGCTATTTATCATTCTCCATCGCGGATCGATTTCTATGCATAGACTTTAGGTATCATCAATCTTGGGATTTTGGGATCTTTCGACACGCCTAAGTACTCTTGGATCTTGTAAACCTGTAACCTTTGAAGATTATATACGTTTCTTTGATCTTCTCATTCTCGTCTTGTTAAATGCCTGGCTCCTTTAATAGACAACGAAATTTCGCAGTTAGGATCAAGATGTGGACATTGCATTATTCACTTTTGCATTTCGTAATTATTTTCTTTGTGCATTACATAGGATATATTCGTGAGAGGCGTAGAATAGTTATCTTTAAACTAAACCTACGCGCAGTGATGAAAGTCGATGTTGACGCATCTTCAATAATTACAAGATACTTCTCGATGTCATAATTGTGTGGAAATGATGATTTAAAACTTTACTTTATTATAACTGTGATTTTTTGAAATTTCAATGTATTCTCTTACCGTCGTAAAAATTAATTCTCTCGTTATATACTCAGATGACACTACTAACATCTTTTTAATTGCGATCATAAATATAAGTAGATGCGGGAATAAATATTAATCGGTCAACGTTAGCGAATATATTATCATTTATATGTGAAAGGTGGAATATAATATTTATCCCATTTATACGAAAGGCGAGTCATTTATATGACGCCTTTCATATACCATAAATAGGAAAAATATTATGCTCCACCTATGAACGTATCCATATAATCAGCAAGATTTTACGTGACCTATTCGAGAAAGAATAAGTCATGTAAAATCTTGCTGATTATATGTATACGTTCATCAAGTTACAAGATCTGTCCGACCACGGGCAAAGAAATATCTTAGACACTTAAATATCATAGACATGATCATTGCGGCCTATTTTCCACGACCTTGGTCGGTAATTGACGATTGATGGAACTTGGTACTTACTCGATACTACTTAACACCATCTTTTTTTCTCTTTTTTTTTAATTGTCTGCGTATGCAATTATATACTTGATTATTGCCTTTTAAATAGAAAAGTTATTTTAATTATCGATCTTATTACATCACGTAATAATAAATATGTGATGGTTATAAATTAAAGATATTTAATTTTTTATGATCTTTACGCACGCATTTTTTTAAATTTACAAGTCGTTTTCAAGAAGATGAAAATCCATATGTGTTATAAAATTATGTAAACTTTTCGACGATTATAAATCATGAAGAAATAGTCATTTCTCTCATCAATTTGCTAGACAGCTCGTGAGATTAAAGATAGTTTCTAGATGGGCGATTTAATTCTTACTGTCTGAAGAAATGAATTTGCTTGTATTCTTTTAGATCTATCTGACATCAGAAAAAATGTGCCGGGTGAGCCAGGCGTCGATTATCCCGCCTACACAATATTACCTCAGACAGGATTTACATGTGAAGGACGCTCACGTGGTAAATATACATATATATGAATAAATATATAATTAAATATATGAATAAATTATGTCACATACTCTTTTGATTATCATTTTGATTATTTTGATGTCATTAGTTAATCATTCAAGCATTCATCAGTTAAACATGAGTTCAAAATTATTTATTCTTTTTCTTCTAATACTTTAAGTTTGCATTACTTTTAACAATAAATTTGTATTATTAAGAGATTATCTTACACGAGAAAGCAATTAGATTCGCTGTGTAAATATGGTAAGAACGAGAAATAAAAGAAGTATAGTGAAATTGAGAAAATTTCATTAATTACTAATGAAGAATGCAATCGATTTCTTTTTTGACTCGAAAATGAACTAATATGTACTTCGAATTTGGAAACTACTAACTTTTGTTAGATGCACTATACACTCGATTAATTTAGAAAGTTCATTGACTTAATCCTTAATCGATACTAAGATGTGACACGAAAAGATAATGTATAGACAAGATTTTTAATCTGATCATTTCCTTAATTTATTAAGATTAACGTATAAGAATAAAGACTTAATTTATTTTCTGCTTAATTTTATAACAATTTATTAATTCCTAAATTTTGTTATAACATTAACTTTATATTAAAATGTATAATTTGTTTTGTTATAAATTATATGTGTATATTAAAAATTTGTAAGATTTTGTAGAATTAAATTAATGTAATTCTATCTTGTTTAATAATTATATAGCTTGATTTCGTTTTTTAATGTAAAAATCACTCAGTATCAAACTTATTATTACCGATTTCTTCATAAATCAGACAGATGATGAATTATTATCATTGCCATTATTGTCAATGTCGTTAATGACATAGAACGAATATTTAATTCGATTTAATTTTCCAATTTTGCTTTTGTTGTATTATTTCAACTCAGTGCCCTCTGACTATGCTGACCGCAAATATTAGATAATCTGGAGAAAAAGATGAAGTCATAAAAACATTGCATGCCGATGAAACTATGTAAAATCGTTGCACAAATGTTACGAAATCTATGTATTTGACATGACATAACGGCGAATATATAACAAATTTCTAATTCTCATAAATATTTATTTCTTTATTTTATCACATTGTTTAATTATATTACAGTTTATTATTCCCAAATTATTTCCACAATTAAACAGAGACATTTCTGAATCGTGTGATATTGTCGAGGACTCTTTTATAAATGCCTATGTCTGAAGTTCAACAGTAGCGATGCAAATCGCATTGACCTTCTAGCAAATTACTATTTACCGGTTTATATCAAAAGCTTTATCGTTTACGGGAAGGCTAGAGTTCACACTAATCGGCTAGAGTTCACAGAAGTCACATAAAATCATTAATTTAAAGTCAAGTCCACAAATGTTTGTTTCTTTAAAATATACGTTACATGTTTTATATTCAATGACACTACCAATTGCAAAAAATGGTCATACAATTCAAAATCTATATTCAAACGTAATATCCTACTCTTGAATTAATGGGGACATTGATCCATGACTCACGTGGTTCGATTTGACTTCCTATAAATTTACATAACTTGATCAATTTTTTGAATATTGATATTGAGTTTATTTTTGGCTTTTTATTTAATTTTAGCTTATTTTTAAAATTTTATTATTATAACATTTTAAATTGTTTTTCAAATTTTATTATTGTATTATTTCGATATTTGTAAAAAATAGATAGAAATAAAAAAATGATACATGCGTTTCTTTCTCGAAAAAAATCCGAAGAAAGATGGATTTATACACTTATTTAACAGGCTACTACGCCGACGAAGCGGCCGGCTGTCAAGTTTTCCACGTGTGCCATGACGTCTTGGTATCCTCCTTTCTGTGCCCGATCGGTTCGACCTTCAGCCAAAAACTGCTGACCTGCGATTGGTGGAACAAGGTCGACTGTGCCTCCAGTAAGAAATACCTCGAAAGGAATCGCGGCAGCTATCAGATCGACGACGACGAGATGATCCGCAACGCGTACGCGATGATCAGCTTGCAGTCCTCTGCGGAAGAAATCACGAAGGACGGTCTGGTGGATCCCGATAGCGGTGCCAGGATCATCGACTATTCCGCGCTCGGCGGCAGAATCGTGATGGGTTTTTTGCCCGGGGGATTCCCCAGGATTACGGATTACGTCGCCGTGGACGCGACGAGAAACGATTTGCCGAGCGGATTCGAGGATTATTTTCATCGAGAGGAGCGGCCGATCTTCCATTACAATCATCATCAGCAGCAGAAAAGCGCAAATCCGGCGTATCATCAAGGCAAACTGCACTTCGAGAACAAGGGCCGATCGCCTTATCACGCCTCCCCAATTATTGGCCACGATTATCCAGATCGAATCGGCGAGAACGAGTTCCAGCACGATTATCGGAGTCCGGGCAACAGATTCGCGAATCATTTACAGACGCCATACGCGCCTACTGTTCCCACTGTTACTACCACCACACGAAGATTCTATTCGCCTACGGTGCCGACGACCTATCGACCTTCCACGTTGGCATACAACAAACTGGATTTGATGGTGGACAGCTCCGATCATCTCTACGCGCACAGCGTGACTTCTCCCACGATTTCTCGTCAGAATGTAGACGCGAGAAATACTAATTTGAGGGAGAGAAAAACGGAATACAAGGCTCCGAAAAAATCAGAAAATGCCGCGTCATCGAGAACGGATAGAGATCATGAAAAAAACAATGGCGTTCGGTTTGATTTTGAAGAAAAGTCGAAAACGAATTTCAGAATCAACGTGACTGATCCGATTGATGAAGATGAAGAGATATTTCGACAGCAGAATGACAGACCGATAACTAAATACGATAATGAAGAAATTTGGGAAGACATTGAAACGAAGGACAGCATTGGAATCGCTCGAGCATTGAATAATCCACTCGGTAGAATTATGATACAAAATCTTGCGAAGAACGAGCGAGCAAGCTTAACGACTTCTCTTCCACCGCAGGCGATTCCAAATGATTCTTCAGGATCGTACAAGAAAGAAGAAGAGGTGAACTCGTCGCAGATCTCGAGGAAATCGGATGTTTTCAACGAGACGAGTTACGATCGATCGACGGAGGAAGAAACTACGAAGAGTTTCGAGGAGACAGCGCATACGAGAAGTTTCATCGATAAGACGACTCCATTGCTGAGAAATCGGCAACAAAATATTAATGCTGGACAAGCATCAACTATTTCGGCAACTGCGAATCCGATAATTACGACTAGAAGAAGTGTTGATAAGATTCGCAGTATTCCTCGTTCTTCATCTAATGACAGCCGTACATCTGTGGACCAAAACACATCGTCGACTAGATCGATTTCCAATAACGATCCCGTATCCAGATTGAACTTCAATTTCGAGGTTCCTGCACCAGCGCGATTTTTGAGACCTCCGATGAAAAGCTTCCTCATCAACGTTCCCGAAGAGACGCGTTATACAACGGTAGACGAGAGTTCTAAAACTCCTTGGAATCCTGGATCGACGAACACCGAGGTTCCAGGATTTTTTGACAGATCTATTGCGAACAATCACGATGGATCGTCGGCATTTAATGTCGGAGAGCAGTCGCTGGTTGATTACGCAGACGATTTGTCGGAGACGCCTAATTTAGGGGTTCATTTAAACGTTCAACCCGAAGTGTCCACGTCTATTCCGTGGCTCGTTTCCACATCGCACGACCGAACGATCGTTGACGTTCCCGCGACCGACATTGTTCCGCCGATCGTTGATTACAATGACGGTTTTGGTGACTTCGTCCCGCCGAATGAACCCTCATACACAACACAATCTGATCGCACAGAAAACGTGGACTCGCAAAAGACGCAGAACTCCTCGACAGTCCCGAAGAAGAACGACAGCGAAACAGAGAGCCTACTACAGTATAACACGGGATTTCAATTTACCATTAGAGACGCTGTCAAGACTCAACTGAATTCGAGGGCGAACACCAGATTGCCGTGCTACTCTTCAACGTCTGACGAACCAGGGAAACCTTGCGAGGCAAACTCTGCAGTTGTTACTCCCAAAGTTGAACTTTCCACGCCGAGTTTAGAAGCAAGGACAATTTCGATAGGTACCAAAGCAACTCCGAGGATTCCAGAACGTTTGCTCTCTTTAAGTAGTACAAGCACGCTAGAAAATTCGGCGACATTTATTCCCGACAAACCCTCGATTTCTACAACGCGATCTCCGGTTTCTATCGGCAGTAATGTTAATGTAGAAACATCGAACTTGAAGACGGTTACACCGAAAGGCCTATTAGAGATCAATGATTCTGAAGAGAAAACCAAACAGAATGCAACAGTGAATAGTCTTTCGAGCCATCCAGGATCTTTAAAACAGATCGAGGAGGTGATTGATAAACATAATTCTCCGTACGAGGAATCCTTCGAAGTCAAGAAGAACGAAGACTTGGAGACGACCGATGACGATTATTTGATCAGTCGATTAATCGCACAGCATCGGCAAGAACCGGCTTCCGTTTTGAAAGACCAGCTAGATGACTTCGAGATCATCAAATCAATCGAACCGGAGGACGAGAGCGCTCCGAACAATGAAGCCAACAGTTTCCCCGTTGTTGTCGATGATACACTCGATCAGTTCAAGCAATCGAATTCAAACATGAGTATGCTGAATCTTCTCGAGCTGATGGCTGAATTGTTAAAATTAGATCGATTACCGCGGCCATTCTCGGCGAAAGATCTGTATAACAGCGAACTGAGAGATTCATTTAATCTAGATCTCGATGAACAAGATGCTACAACGAGTCCGATATTGATTCATTCGCAAACTAAAACGCCATTCAAGAACTCAAAGGCCAAGCTGTCTGCTTTCGATACATTGAGGACAGCCATCGATCCATCAATCAAGCCGAAGGCATCGTCGAATCTGGATCTCAACGAATCATCATTTGTTACAACAAATCCATTGTTGGAAACTAGAATATCAAATCCAGGTTCCAAGGTATCTTCTCTTGAAGACACTTTGACGTCTATCAAGCCGCCTCCTGATATTTCCTCTGAAATAAATTCGAATAATTCAACAAAGCAGAAGAGTCAATCGAAAGCTGAAAGCAAGATCGCTCGACCTCTTCAGAAGGAGAAAATCCTGGAGCAATTGACGGAAAATTTTGGACAGCCTCTGTATCGTGGTAAATTAATTCGTGAACCACTCGTCTTCGATTTGCCACAAGTGCAGAGGAGTTTAGATTTTGAGACTGGCTTGCCTTTAGAAGAGAGCAAGCATGTAAGCACCAGCGAATCTGAAGAGGAAAGTTCAGTATCCTCTACAACAGAAACAACGACGACGACGACGACACAAGAATCGACAACGACGACGGAATCTGTGAAGACTATCGTTGAGACCGAGTTTGTTCCTTCCCTTGGCTTCTCCTTTGATACCAACGAAGGTCGCGAGGAATACGTTCAGGCAATACTCGGAGGACTGATCGATGAACGAACAGATGAAGATGGAAAGTCTTCCGAACCCAACGCGCAACTGACGAGCGAAGCCCCAAAAAATGAAACTTTAAGTTCTGAACAGCATGAAAACTCGAAAGACACTTAAAAGATATCTGAAGAATGTGTGAAAGATGATGAATGATTATCTTTCTTGGCTGATCATTTCATCAACATCAATTAATTATAATATAGAAATCGTTTTTTTATCTTTTATAAAATTATAATTGGGAGAAATAATTAAAAATTAAATTTAATTGAATATGAGAGGAAATAAATTTAGCCATTGATGTTTGTATAATTTATAAAATGACGTGACGACAAATTTTTTAATATTGATCGATACATAAAATAGGAATAAGCTTAATATTTTATATCACATCTAAATAATAATCAAATAAATATCAAATAAATATCAAAAATAAATAAATAATAAATTATAATAAATATAATGAGAAGAAATTTATGCACACATTTTTAAAGTTATATTAATTTATAGTTGCGTATTAACCACAAGATTAGAATTATTTAATCCTATGATAAAAGAAAATGATCCCTATAGCGTGTAACTATTTTCTTTCCACGCCAAAATATATATTTTCTATTGTTATCATATAGTTATAAGATATTACAGAAGTTGTAAAATGGATTTTATTAATTATTATGTTATGTTGTATTATTATAATGGATTTTATCTGCTTTAATCGCGAATGTTAGCACAACATTTCATACTTGCTCATGTATAGAGGAGAAAGATAGTAATATGTGTGCATTTAATATTATGCAGGAGAATATCTGTAGCGTTATGAATATTTTTTTATCAACTTATCTGATTACCAGAAAATGGCACATTGTATTATTTTTAAATATATCTTTCTCTATTTCGTTATACAAAGTTCATTGTGTAATCAATAAATACATACTTACCCTATATATATCCTTTTACACCGAGAAAGCATTTCACCATGACAACGGCGTCAAACTTATTCATTCTCCAGTATTGCTCGAAGACGATTCAATCAAGTCTGAATCTATCGTTGAGAAGTATCACATTCTGTAAAATAGTTATTTACAGTGACAATTTCTCTATCTTTAATCGAATAAATAAAATAGTATTTTTATAAGAAATTTTTATAAGAAAAAAAAATCTTAATGAAATAAAATGAAAGATTACATGTATAGAATACAGAGGAAATAAATTGTGTGATGTATATATTATTTTGAAGTGAAAGATAAAAGGTTATTCTCTCTACATCATAAATTTTATTTTTCGTCAAATAGATTAATCGCTCGAGAGAAAATAATATTAGCAAAATATAAAAATTTTAGAAATCATTGATAATATGGAGAATGACGATAAAAAAGATGAAAGAAAAGAAGATGAAGAAAAAGATTCAATCGACAAGAATGACCAGGATAAACCGTCTATTGCGTACATGGACTATCGGTAGGTACTAATTATTAATAATGATATTAATAACTCTTTTATCATTTATTATGTGAAACATGCATTTTTCATGGAAGTTATTAAATTGTCTTATTTGATCTAATTAGAATAAGATGGATTCGCGACAGGGTATTAAAGTTTCTCGGGATGACTGATCAGGAGCATCTTTTCGACAATCTTATTAATGTAATTATCTTTCGTGATAAATAATTTATTAAAGATTTGTCAAGATTATATATAATTATCTTTAATTATTAGGCGAATAATCGGTACTTCGAGGACAAGCTACTTAACTTTCTTATATTAGATTTATACGGAGTGACGGATCTGGAAAAAAAACTAATTTTCTTCTACAAAACTTACGTCAGTGAAGTATTTCAGGAGGAAATTTCAGTATGGGAAGAAAGTAAGCTCTAAAAGTGCTTTTATAGAGAGGCTAGGCTTTTAGAGGGGTGTGTCAGACCTATTCTTTCGGCCATAAATTTTCTTATCAATCTCCTAAATCTGAGACATCCCTTGCAATATATTTAGCAGTTAATAATAAGAAATTTTATGAGAGAAAGAGACAAAATGAGACATAAAATGTAATTTTGATGTACGGCGATTGTGACTTTAGGTCAGCGTGCAAAAATAACAGCATTGACAGCATTTACCTCGAAAGGCAGAAGATTAACAAAAAGCGCTCCTGGTAAAAATCTCGCGATTCTTAAAATTACGTAGCATCCTTCAAAATAGCATTATGCATGCATACAATGTCTCTCGTAGTCGCACAATCTTTATTGTATTAATATGCTAATATATATTTAATTATATAAAATATTTAGCAGTAAAGTGATCGACAAAGTTTTATTATGTTATACGTAATAATGATTTAGAGTTCTGTGCATCTAAAAATCACGTATTATTTTATACACAAACACACTTTGTTGCAATAAGCATAAAGAAAACATATTTTATTTTTTTTTTTTGCTTATTTTAATTTTCATCTCTTTTTATCTTTCCTTCCTGTGTAAAGATTTTAAAATAAAAACAATCTTGTGATATGTATTTACTCCAAAAACACAGTATACTTGAAATTTGGGAAAAAATCACCAAATTTCAAATGATGATAACTTCCGTAAATAATAAAGATACAAAGATTTCTAAAGAATAAAAATAAAGCTTGGAATCTCTACTTTAAGAATCTGTTTATTTCAATGTGGCAAAATAAATTTATTAAAAATGGCGGATGACAAAACGAAAACATGTAAAATTAACAAATAATGATCCGAGTTTACCAAGGCACATGACGTCAATCAAATGTTGAAACTGAATGGGATAAAAAGCATACGATAGTACAGAATCTTCCCTTTAAAATGCTTTTTTATTCATCTCGATATAATAATTTTTCACAGAATTATTCGTATTTAAAGTAAAAAGCTGCCTTTTTATTCAAATGCAAATATCTCGGCGAAAAATCATCGTATCGAAATGAATAAAAAAGCATTTTAAAGGGGAGATTCTGTACTATCTTATGCTTTTTATTCCATTGAGTTCCGACATTTGATTTATCCCATGTGCCTAGGCAAACTCGGATCATTATTTTTCAATTTTGCATGTTTTCGTTTTCTCATCAGCCATTTTTAATAAATTTATCTCGCCACATTGAAGTAAACAGATTCTTAAAGTAGAAATGCCAAGCTTTATTTTTATTCTTTAGAAACCTTTCTATCTTTATTATTTATAAAGTTATCGTCGTTTAAAATTTGATGATTTTTTCCAGATTTTTTCCATTTTAAGTGTACCGCTTTTTTGGAATAAGTGTATTATTTAATATTTTTGATAAATGTTTTAATCGACAAAAGAAGAACAATTTTGACAGTTTTTGATAACGATAGGAAAAGTAGAAAAACATGATGATGATAAGAAGAAAAAGGATAAGAAATTAGCAAAAAAAGGTAAAAAAAGTAAAGCAGACAATCAAGTTACTAGTCGCATGGCAATGAGTACCAGCACTCTGCATTCTCCTAGTACACAAGCATCCAGCGAAGAGGAGGAAGAGAAAGACGAAGACGAAGGAGAACAGAATGGTAGCGGTGATGTTTCTACTTATTCTAGAAAAAAAGGAGATTCGAGAAGTGCTCCTACAGGTACTCAACAGCAAATTAGATTATATCTGTAAATATAGATTTGTTTAAAAAATATATATATATGTCAGTAATAATAATAATAATAATTTATATGTTTAGATAGTTCCGCGTTTACACCACCGCCTGGAGAAGAAGATAAATATGTTCTGACTAAGGTTGATTGATTAAACGAAAACTTATTAAATAATGAGTTTTTTATATAATTTTATATGTTTATTCTTTTTACTGTAAAAGAAAAAATCACTTAATAATAGATTAACTTTAGCTTAAATTAATTTAGACAGTATTGAGTAATCTTAGTTTTCTTGTCTCTCCCTAGTTTTAAAAAGGGAACAATTGAGTAAACCACGATTAAAAGCAAATTGATGTTGAGTGAAATCGATCATAAAGAAACAACGTTCTCTGGCAATTGCAGAAATTGGTGGAGAAAGTTTGTCAGGTACCGGCGCTGCACATGATCTGCGGCCAGATAGATAGTAACAGAACTGACCTACAGGACGTCACGTTCTTCTATTTCATGCGCACCAGCGATGAAGGCATACCTTCTTTCGATACCTACGAAGAATGCCTCGATGAAATCACGAATTACGTGGTGGTCGGCTCGCTCAACAGCAGATTCCTGGCCTCTTTGAATAATATACTAGTTAATGTAAGGATTGTTCAATCTATTCACGATTGGTTCCAGTAATGATCTTTTTACCAGTTGATCGTATATCATCAATTCTTTCGCAACTTACAATCTATATTCCAGTATATTGTAAACCAAATTGTAGCGTTACATATTTAAATGTCCATTAAAATATGTCTCTTTTGACAAGATAATTAAATTTTTTTTTTAAATATTTGCAAAACTGAAAATGATTTTTGTCTTATTAGAAAACAAAAATTTTGGATCGTATATAAATTTTAGAGAACTAAATTTCTTATGTTAATGTATATATTAAAGGATATAAAGCTATCCGCTATCTAATCATTCAATAACGTGTGGAAAATATAACACTAGGTTTTTAAACCATTGGTGGAAAATCAATTCAGAGGACCGGATTTTTGTGAGCCATTACAGGTTGAGGATGAAAAAGAGAGAAAAAGAAAGAAAGTGGACGGCGAAGCGGTGAGAAATCCGCATTAACGAGTATCAAAACTCAAATGCATAAAAAAATATTATCTGTTTTAAAACTTATCATGTAGAATCTATATCAAATTATAACACACTTAATACATATTATTTAAAATATTATTTTAAATTTCTTTCATACAGTTGTTTATTTTTAATATATTCCAATAATTCGAATCAATAATTAGAATGAATATACTAATTTAACAGCGAGTAATTTTAATATTTTTATTTTTTCTTGAAGAAATCGGTGCTGAGACGACCATCCGTTTTTATGAGACCATCTATATTAGTATCCGCAAGAACAAAGAAGAACGATGAAGAAACAATCTCACAAGAGGAAAGTTTGAAAAGTAGGAGACGAAAACCCAGTGTGAGAAGTAAAAGATCAGATATATCTATATCGGAATCGAGGACCATCAGTTTGAAAGAAATGAGAAAACAGCCAATGATCGAGCAAGCCAAGAAAGACATTTTAGATTATCTCGACAATATGATTAAAAGCGCAGAATCGTTAGTAATATTTGAAGTAAAACCATTAACAAATGTTACATTTATTATCTCTTTTTAAGTGCACCTTTTACTAATAGTTTCGTGCTTTTTATTTTGATGATGCAGGACGTTGGAGCATGTCGAAGGCGATATCTTGCTGACGATGCCAAAAATTCCAGAACTCAACGATCCTGCGATAACAGATGATATATTGCTAAAGAATAAAGAAATCGTCGAACAAATGGAAGAAGTAGTTATGTCGTGGGAAAAACATATACAAAAGGTGTACTATTTCAATTCTCTTTTCGTGTAATCTTTCTACAATTTTGAGTTACTTACAATATACGATGTTCTAAATTAATACAATTTAATTAATTCTTTATTAAAAATACATAATCGCATATAAAACATTTATATTATTTTCAACATATTTAAAAAATAGCTAATTCTTTATCTGTGGATAATTCTAAATTAATTTTTTAAAATTGTTGTATTAATATATTTTATTTTATTATTATTGCTTAGGTAATGGAATCATACGTGAGCAAAATGCCCCCAGGGAAAGGACCAATAGCAGAATACCAATATTGGCACGATTGCGAGACCGGATTAACAATGTTGGTTGAACAGTTGAAAATGCCCATTGTTAAAAGAATCCATGCTCTTCTGGAACAGATACTCTCACCAATTGCTTCCAGTTTTCGATATTTCCAAACGGAATTGTGGAAGCATTATGTCGAAGCTAGAGACAACAATAAGTTTATTCAAACTCTCATGAGATACTTCAAGGTATAATAATGTTACAAAGAAATGTTCATTTATAATACTGTAATATTACTTTACTAAAATCGAACGAATTTTGTAGACGTATTCTTGGATTTTAGATGAATTTGAAATCTTATGAAAAATATTCAGACATCTCTAGCTTTCGAGTAAAATAAAAACTTAAAACGTATAAACTATATAATATAAAGTAAAAACTTTTCGCCAATCACGAAAGTCAGAAATAAAAATTTTCATTTTATATTTAATTTTAATAATAATAGAATTTTTTAATTTCAAGTTTAACTATGTCAGAAAATTAAAATTACAAACATTGAATGTTTATTAAAAAAGTAGGTATATTAAAATGTTTCAAAAATCAATCGAAGAATATATTCTTAAACAGTTTTTAAGCAAATATCCTAATAATATTGATTGATTATATAAATTTTTATAAAAATCGCAGTTGATTATCGAATCGGATTCGTTCGAATCTATAGAAGGATGCATACCTTCGTTGATGGAGGGGCTGCGAATGCTCTGGGTGTTATCTAGTTATTACTGCCGCGAGGAAAAATGATCCTACTAATGGACCGGATATCGTGGCAACTTTGCGAAAACGTCAAGCACAATCTAGCTATCGTCTTACTGTTCAAGAAGCCCCTGGAAGAAATTCTAAAAAAACAAGCGCAGCCAGCACGATGCTGAAACAGTGGAAACGATCGTACTTGAAGACCCGACTGGACATCGAACTGTCAGGAAAGGGAGTTCGTTGGGAGTTCGATCAGAAACGTCTCTTCCAGAACACGGAATACATCGCCGAGGTGTGCAGCGATCTTTACAAGATTGCAGACGTGCTCCAAGACTTCTACAACATCTTCGGACCCGATCTGAAATCCATCATAAACGATCCGGCGCAGATCGACGCTGTGGTGAAGCGAGTGGACGCGCTTGTGGTGCCGATCGAAGAGGCTGACTTCGACATCTTCAATGTATTCAACAAGGAGAACTGGGAGGCCATGACCGCATGGTTCTACGAGCAGGTGACGTATCTAGAAGACCAGGCCAAGTTCTACATCGATGAATGCTTCACGGTGCTGATCAGCGCCGAAAACGCGCTGGAGATGTTGCTCAAGTTCAAAAATTTAAAGACCCGTGTCGCGATTCAACGCCAGCTGCTACGCAAATTCAACGTGATTATGCAGCAGTTCAGCAAGGAGATCAATATCGTGGAAAACATATATCATCGTGGCAAACGGCATCCACCGTTGCTGACGTATCATCCACCTATGGCGGGAGCAATTTTCTGGGTGAGGCAGCTATTCCATAGATTGCGTAGACCGGTGCTGATCTTCCAACAAGTGCAGGAGTTGAAGCACAGCGAGTTGAAGATTCTCGCGTTCAGCCAATACTTCGAGCTCGCGAAGCAGCTGAAGGAATTCGAGAAAACCAAGTTCAACACGTGGCTCGAGAAGGCGTTATCGACAGTGACTGCCATCATGAAAAAGAGCGTATTGAAGATAGTACGCGTGGAAAAAGATCCTCCGGCTATTCTGACCTTCCCGGATGAACAGCGAGCCACGAGGGACCTTCAACTGGCCCACCTAACATCGAAGACGAAGATTAAAAATGCGAGTTCCATTGTGTCGACTCCACGTGAATCTCTACTGAAGTACGATGGTGTCATAATATCGAAGTCTAACGCGGAGATCGAAAGTACGGGCTCTAAAATTATTTGTACGGCTCAGCCGCGTTTCCCGGAAGGAAAGACTGATACCAGAATACCCTCGTTGAAGGATGCAGGCAAAAGCTCCTCCGTGTCCTCTGATAGACACGACACCCGTGCGAAGATCACCTGGGAGGAGTTCATGAGCGGCGCTATTCTGCTAGAGTGTCAGCTACGCTTTCAAGTCAACTTCGACTGGGAAGTGTTCGAGATGATCAGAGAAGCGGAACTGATGGAACAACTGGGTTTCGAGTTGCCTGCGACCGTCAGAGACGTCGGCATTCAAAAGAATCGACTGAGAACGGACATTGACGCCATTAGAAAGATGATCGATCAATACAACAATATCCTGGAGACGTTGGATAAAGCGGATGTGCAGTTGCTGAAGCACACTCTGCAAGATGTCGAGAAGCATATTCAGCCTGGTGTGACGCGATTCAATTGGAACTCCTTGAGCATTTCGGATTACGCTGCGAGTTGTAATAGGATATTGAAGAACTTGAATTCCATCATCAACCAAGTCGAACAGATAAAGAAAGAACTTGACAATCGAATCAATTCTGAGCTGCAATCGTATCATCTGTTTTCTACGAAGAAGGAGATCATTGAATCAGAGAGTCTCTTACCATGCAAGGTATTTTATTAAATAAATTTTATTTTCTTAAAAAAAGTTTGTATATATATATATTAAAAATTTATAAAATTATTATTATTCTTTTTTGCAAGAAAAATTGAATATTTTCAGGATTAATATGTCAAATTATTATGATAATATATTATGTTGATTACAACATTTAATTCCTTTTTTCTTTATAGACATATTTTATGGAAATAAAAAATCGGAGGTCCGAGTTGGTTTCGTCGATGTTAAAGGCTTATCAGTCAATCAGTCCGATGCTTGTAAAACTGGAAAGCTTGGTATTAGGTACTAACACCGGAAAAAGTCCAGCCATGCAGCTCTTGTATGAAAAATATGAGAAGAAAATTTTTGCTGCCTTTATAATGTATGTATTTTTCTGATTAATAAATAATAAATTCAATATGTTAATAAGTATCATTATTTTATTGAGATATCTTTGATTTTCTAGGTGTATGGTAAGGAACATGGAGGTTCTAAACAAAATGTTAAACAGCACTAAACCAATCTTCCAAGTAGACGCAATATTAATAGCATCTGAAGTAGTATTACGCCCGTCACCCAATGAAATCTATAACATTATTTGTCAAGACATGCGAGATCTACTGGAAAGATTAAAAAAATTCTCGAGATGGATGAACGGAACTTGCTTGGAGTGTAAGCCACAGAGAACAGAACTTTCGGAGGACTTGGTTCTTTTCAGTTTTTTCGAAGACGTGATGAGTGTCCGAGTTGAGTGAAGTTTAGGAGCTTGAGTGTTAAATGCACTTTATTTTAATTTAGCAAATGTTTCAACAAATAATTATAAGTGTCATATAGTGTTGTTTTTTCAATTTAAAAAAATATATATGTATTCTAAATATATATATGTATTCTAAATATTCACAGATAATTAATGAACTTATAAAAATAGTTCATGACACAGCGTACAGAATTTCGACGGATTGCTGGCGATATTTATACAAATGGAAGAAATACAGTATTTTGTGGTCGTTCGATAAAAATCTTGTTTGTGAGAAATTCGCGGCGACACAACCCACTCTGGCACAATACGACGAAAAATTCACGTTTTACGAAGGCATTCTGGAGGAACTCGAAGATATGTCGTCTTACTTCGACATAAGCAGTGTACGGTAAAGCGGTATTAACAATTTGTATCGTTATTATAATGTAAAAATGTGTAATTTTATATAATATATCATAAAAATATTTTGAAAAAATATTGTAATAAATAATGGATTTTTTTTATTTTAAAATATATAACACTTAAACTTATTCTCCATTTTTCTGTTTGAAATTTCTGTTTTAATTTAGACTTTTTTCAAAGGCTCAATCTGACACCGCTCTTATCAAACATCGAGCGTCAAGCGAAGGAGTGGAAACAAGTTTTAGGAAATTACCTTCTGTCCGACACCGTGGAGTCTATGAATCAATTGAAAACTCAGATCGATACCTTCCGCAGCGAGATCGAGCTGGTGGTGGCTGGATTGGATCGTTTCATGTCGATCATGCAGGCTATCACCGACGTGAGAAATATGGCGATCAAAGCTGAAGTGCAATACCTCTCTTATCAGGAATGTTTTCGAACAATGCGCATCCACGCAATTACGTTCCCTCCATCGGACGAAGCAATGGCGTACGAATTACAACGCAAATGGGAATCCTTATATCTCGGGGCGTTTTATAGAGCTTCGACTCTGGAGAGCACCGTCGAAAAATTTGCCGAGATGATCGAGGATCAAATCCAGCAGTTCTTGGAAGAAACTGTGAAATTTGCTCAAGATTTTGAGGCGCATGGTCCCGGAAGCACCGGGGATGATCTGGAGCTGGGACTGATGAAAATGGACGTACGTTCAAAAAAAACTTTTGCTCGCTCTTCTGAAATTCTCGTAAATTGTTTTTTTTTAATTTTTTAAAATGATTAAACAACTTCTTTAATGAGAATTTAGTTTTCTTCGCATATTTACAGGAATATGGCAAATTGATCAACAAACACGAGGAAAAACGCTTAAGCCTAATAAAGTATGAAGATCAGTTTGATTTACCGTCCACCGATTACTCAGCTTTACTGAAAGTCAAGACAGATTACGAAAGCATGGAGATGTTGTATAATCTCTACACAGAACAAAGAAACGCGCGAGAAATCTGGGCGAAGACTCTCTGGGTGAACTTGAATCCCCAGCAGCTCATCGAGGGAATGGAACACTTTTTAAGAGAGTTTCGACGACTGCCGAAATCCGTCAGGGATATAAACGTCGGTCATGCCTTGCACGCCAATATGAGAAACTTCAAAAATTCAGTGCCACTCTTCATCGAGCTGAAAAATGAGGCTATGCGTGAAAGACACTGGCAAGAGCTGATGAAAAGAACCGGACAATATTTTGATATGGACCCGGACAGGTGTGCGGATGATGAATAATTAAACGAATACTAATTATACGTGCGGATTAAATGGACAGCGCGAATAGAGTGCGGTTTTCAAAATTAATTACAAACACGGATAATTATTATATTATTTACACATGCAAATGTGTGGCGATAAATAATGGGGAATACATTTTTGTATTTTTTTTTTATATTTTATATGTTTACTTTATATACAATATATAAAATAATATATATGTATGTATGTGTGTGTATGTACATTATTTATTTATTTATTTATTTATATTGTGCGATTGCAATATTCACGAATTTTGTGTATACATATATGTATAATCGTCTATACTTACATTTTTTTAATATTTATGTGTATAGTAGCACTTTTTTTAAAAGATGTATATTATATTTCAGAATAATTATTGCAGAGAAACTATCTAATTTTTCTGATAAATGAATTGATGTACATTGCATATATTATTTCATAATTTTTTTGGATTATGCGCATCTGTTTTCTTTATAGATTCTTGTGACATAATCGATTAATGGCCAGTGCAAACTTATTCGCGAGTGTATAAATTTGATATTTAATTTTCAATAATATAATTAATGATATATAGACACTTTAATGCGATACAAAAATGGCACAACACAAATTTGTTATACTAGAGGGGTAAGCTTTTTAAATCACGTTGTTTGTTTAATTTAAATATATAAAAATACAGGTATAAAAATATCGGATTATTTCAGATTTACCTTAGAAAATATGTTCGCTATGGAATTAGGAAAGTACCAAGACATCGCGCAAGATATTGTGATGAATGCCGTGAAGGAGCTTGCGATAGAGAGAGGCGTGAAAGAATTAGCGGAAGTATGGAAGTCTATGGAATTCAACGTCTTAAAACATTATAAAGGTATTTTAGTTATTTAGAAAAAAACTCTGTTCACATTATATTATTATTCTAATTATAAAATAAATTATATGCAATTAATATAATTATAAATAAAATGTGCAAATTTCTACAATGATTATACTTTACAATAATTATTGATAATTTCTACAATAAAATAAATAAATAAATAAATAAATAGATAAATAAATAAATAAATAGATAAATAAATAGATAAATAAATAGATAAATAAATAGATAAATAAATAGATAAATAAATAGATAAATAAATAGATAAATAAATAGATAAATAAATAGATAAATAAATAATAAATAAATAAATAAATAAATATTGATCAGGTACGGAAGATCGTGGCTTTATTCTTGGACCACTCGACGAATTGAATCTGGTACTCGAGGACAACATGCTGACCGTGCACAGCATGGCGGCTTCGCAATTTATTGGACCGTTCCTCAACGTCGTTCAGAAATGGGAACACACGATGCATACGATCTCCGAAGTTCTGGAGGTGTGGGTGGAACTGCAGCGAAAGTGGTTATATCTCGAGGGCATCTTCGTGGGCGGCGACATCCGGCTTCAGTTACCGGATGAAACGAAAAGATTTGACGACATCGACCAAGCTTTCAAGAAAGTCATGACCGACACCTCGAAGAGACGCAATGTTTTAGAATGTTGCATTATTTATGGTATTTATTTTACGCACATTTTGTGCAAATTAATTAGAAATATATTATATATATATATATAAAAAAATAAAATTAATATAAATGTTTTAAAATAACATAGAGATGTATTGCAATATACTGCTACTGTACTTAGGTCGAAAAGATGAATTCGAAGCCATGATAGCGGCCCTCGACAAGTGTCAAAAATCTCTCACAGAATATCTGCGTAATAAACGCCTTATATTCCCGAGGTTCAACTTTATTAGCGACGATGAGCTGCTGAGCATTCTCGGTAGCAGTAATCCCGCTATCATCCAGGAGCACGTTGGAAAGATATTCGATAATCTTGATAAGTTTAAACTGGTAGCTGATAGCGGAGATAGACTGATAGCGACGGCTCTTATATCTTGCGAAAGGGAAATTATGGAATTTAGGAATCCCGTATCCACGGAAGATAAAATTGAAATCTGGATGGTTCTTGCTCTCGAAGAGATGAAAAGATCGAATCGATACTTGACGAAGAAAGCGGTCTACAATTACGGCAAGGTTTATATTCAATTGTTTTAATTTATTTGTACAGATTCTTTTCTCAGTAAAATATTATTTTGTATTAAACATATCTATTGTACAATTATATCCCTTACTGTTAATCTTTTATTATATGAGAAAAGTCATTAAATTTATATAAAGAAATAATGATAATTGATTAAAAAATTAAAACTTCTCGATAAAAAATTATGTTATAATTTTCACAATTTTTGTAATAACAAAAATTGTATAATCGTAAACATAGGTACGAAGACCGAGAACGGAGTGGATACTTGAGTTTCAAGGTATGATGATTCTCACGGCTAATCAGATATGGTGGACCGCAGAGGTCGAGAATCTTTTCGATAAAATATCTCAAGGAGATAAACGGGCCATGAAGGAGGTAAAAGAAGCTGAAAAATCCCAAGTAAAATTTTTTACATTAGAACAAAAGAATATATTTCTTTTTTGTGCATAGTATCTACAACAACTGAACAATCAACTAAACGAAGTGGTGACAATGATGGGCAGCGATACGCTTACAAACAACGATAGGAAAAAGATCGACATGATTTTAACCATCGACGTGCACATTCGTGATATTATTGAGACCTTTGTTAGGGACAGCATTACAGATCCTACAGAATTTGAATGGGAAAGCCAATTAAGGTAGTATATCATTTTTAGTAAAAAAATGTAATTTTCGGCATATTGTAATAGATTCTAAATAAGCTTATTAAATTTTATTAATTCATTTTTTAACATTATTTTTTATGTAATAATTTTGTAAATTAATTATTTTTGTACATATGCAGATTTTACTGGGTTCATGATCTGGACAATATATGGATGAACCAATGCACAGGCACTTTCGAATATGGTTACGAGTACATGGGTCTTAATGGCAGATTGGTCATTACGCCTCTGACAGACAGAATATATCTCACGATCACGCAAGCCCTTTCAATGCATTTAGGCGGTGCTCCAGCAGGTACGTGAAGCACATACACGTAGCACAGTTGCGATTTCTCGAATATGAATCAAATATAATGGCTTTTCTATTCTAAACGTATAGCCAAATGCACCGCAATAGAAAAAAAATTTAATTATATTATAATTAAAAAATACAAAAATAGAAAAGAAAATAATATGACTTTTCATACAAAATCAATACTTTTAATTTGCATTTAATGCATTTTTTAAAATATGTAGTATCAATAAGTATTTTGACTTTTAACACTAAGGTCCTGCTGGAACCGGCAAGACTGAGACAGTGAAGGATTTAGCGAAAGCTTTGGGTCTCTTATGCGTTGTCACTAATTGCGGAGAAGGGATGGATTACATCGCGATCGGGAAGACTCTCGGTGGTCTGGCTCAATGTGGAGCATGGGGTTGCTTCGACGAATTCAACCGTATCGATACCTCCGTTCTCTCGGTTATCTCGACTCAATTGCAAACTATACGCTCGGCCCTACAAGTTAAAGCTCGAAGATTTACGGTACATTTTTATTATACATGGATATTGAAAACGTAAAATGCCAACGTTCATTTTTCAAAATATTTCTTAATTATATCAACAAATTATATAAATATATTTAATATAATATATATATATAATATATAAATATATATAAATTTCTGTCGCATTCCTATCATATTTTTATTATAAAAAACTACATTCTCCAAAGTTCGAGGGCCAAGATATCGTGCTGGACTCGAAAGTTGGAATTTTCATCACCATGAATCCAGGATATGCCGGTCGTACAGAGCTACCGGAGTCCGTCAAAGCCCTTTTCAGACCAGTGGTCTGTATAGTGCCGGACAACGAGCTGATCTGTCAGATCAAGCTCTTCAGCGCCGGTTTTTTGACAGGGAAACAGCTCGCGAAGAAAATGACGGTTCTTTATAAGCTCGCGAGCGAGAAGCTGAGCAAACAAACGCATTACGACTTTGGCTTGAGGGCTCTCAAGTCCGTCCTTAATATGGCCGGCCAACTGAAAAGAACTTCCGGTGTTTTGCCCGAGAACGTCATACTGATGAGAGCCCTCAGAGACATGAATTTGCCCAAGTTCGTATACGATGACGTGCCGCTCTTTTTGGGACTGATTAAGGATCTCTTTCCGGACATAGATTGTCCTAGAGTGCATTATCCGGATTTTAACGAGGCGGTTGAGACGGTACTGAAAGAGCACGGATACATCGTCTTACCTGAACAAGTAAATATCATTTTTCATATTTTGACGTTCTTATTTTTTACCGATAATATACAATTTTTCGTGCTTTTTTTAATACTAACGTATTTTTAATTAATTTGATATTATTAACATTTTTTATTTATTTAAGGAACTTTTTACTCATTTAAATTTTCTTTAAAATATTAAAAGTACGTTCTGCGATGCGAAATAAATACGATAAAAGCATGTTTTATCTTTAAAATATTAATATAATTTAACTGTGTAGAAATGTGTAATAATATATTTAAATATTGAAAAATCTTTTATATATATATATCATGATACAGCTACATTCTATTATTATATTTAGGTTGATAAAAATTATTAAAAATAATTTGTGAGAGGAATAGAAACATATAAATATCAATAAAAATAATTTTTATACTTTAAACGACATTGCGCTTTCAACATTTACTCACGTTTTATTCCCGCTCTTGTTTATGTGCAACGCTTGAAATTAAATAAAATAAAAATATGAAATTAATAAAATTAAATTAAATTGTCACAATTAGGTTGACAAAGTTATTCAATTATACGAAGTGATGATGACCAGACATTCGACGATGCTCATCGGCCCTACTGGCGGCGGTAAGACGGTAATAATCGAAACGCTATGCAGAGCACAGACATATCTCGGTAAACCTACGAAACTGCACATTCTCAATCCCAAGGTAAATGCTAATTAATTTTAATAATAATTTGTATGATTAATTTTGATGTTCTTTAAATCATCATGTTTCTCAAATTGATCAAGGCTTGCACCGTCATTGAATTGTATGGAATGTTAGAGCCTATAACGCGTGATTGGACGGACGGTCTCTTAAGTAGTATCTTTCGTGAAATCAACCGACCCTTAGATTCCGGCAAGGACGAACGCAAATACATACTCTTCGACGGCGACGTCGATGCACTGTGGGTCGAAAACATGAACTCGGTTATGGATGACAACAAGCTGCTAACTTTGGCTAATCAAGAGAGAATCAAACTGCAGAATCATTGCAGTTTGCTTTTCGAGGTAACTTAATGCAGTTCTCGAATATATTATAAGATCAATCCAATTTTGAAAACATTAATCTCATAATATTGGAATATTAGAAATTATTTGCACAATTATTTTTATGACTATTAAAAAATAATAAAATGAATCTAATCGTGATTTAGTATTCAATTAATTTTGAAATAAATTATCGCGAGAGAATAACTACGTGTAATTATTTGTCTTAAATTATTTTTGTTGATAAATGTAAAAAGAATTATTATGAAAAAAATTCGATATTATTAAATTATTATCTAAACATTTTTATTTGAATAATTATTGATTTTCTATGCTCAAGGTAGGTGACTTGCAATACGCTTCACCTGCAACCGTGTCGAGAGCAGGTATGGTTTACGTTGACCCAAAGAACCTAGGCTATCAGCCATACATGGACAAGTGGATACAAGCCAAGAGCAAAACAGACCAAGATTTTTTGCGCGGAATGTGCGAGAAATACGTGCACGGCTCGCTCAAACTAATTGTCAGAGGAATGTTAGGCCTTCAAACGGTGGAACCGCTTCGGATGATTATACCACAAACTGACCTCAATATGGTAACCACTAGATTCACTAATCGACTATTGATTAATTCGTATTTGCGGACAATCACAAGGATGAAGCTTGTTTTAGAATTCACTGTTTATCGGACATATCTATTTATATATTATCGTTTTTCAAGGTAATTCAATTCTGCTACACGTTTGACGGCTTGTTGTCATTAAAAGATGAATCGGCGGATAAGAAATCCACGGAAATAACTCAAGAGGAAAAAGATAGATCACTGGTGTTCAAAGAGCAACTCCTCGAGGCAATATACATTCAAGCATGCTATTGGTCATTCGGTGCATCTATCGTAGACAACGCGCGTCCCAAATTCGATGAATACATGAAGAAGATTTCTGGATTTGTACTAGTTCAAGATACACCCGACAAACTGGCAACCACTAGTAAGTTTAATTAAAGTTTAACAAAACCAAAATAGCAAATACAATAAAAATGTGATTAATTCATTACATTTCGATCTTTTTTTATACGTGCATTTTTGATATTTTCTCAAATTTTAAAATAAATGTGCACGTTTATGTATACATGTATGTTACCTCAGGAAATATACCCATATCATTTCCAACTCTGTACGATTATGTGTTGGATGTCAAGAAAAAAGTTTGGATGGCATGGAAATGGTTGATACCGATATACTTTCATGATAGAGAAAAATATTTTTCGGATATCCTGGTGCAAACGATTGACACTCTGCGTACCACGTGGTTCGTGAATCTGATGAGCAATTTGCAGAGACCGGTATTATTAGTCGGAGAAATTGGCACCTCGAAGACGGCCATCATTCATGAGTTTCTGAGAAACTTGAACCCCGAGAAATACGTGAGCGAAAAATAATATCTAAAATATAAAAGCACACAATTACCAATATCACATTTTATTAAATTCAATTTTCATAATATTTTTCTAATATAGAAATATATAATTATATTAAAATACAATGTATGTAAATTAACATATGTGTGTAACAAATTTCTTTACACATTGTTTGTATTAATTTACTATGTTTAACAACTTATTATGATGCCAAATAGGAGCAACTTCTAATTAATTTCTCGTCAAGAACCACTTCGATGGATGTGCAGAAAAATATCGAATCGACAGTGGAGAGAAGATCGAGAGAAATATTCGGACCACCGCCCGGAAAAAAATTAATCGTCTTCATCGACGACATGAACATTCCAATCGTGGACACTTACGGAACCCAACAACCCATCGCGCTCCTTAAACTTTTGTTCGAAAGAGGTGGCTTTTACGATCGCGGACGCGATCTGAATTGGAAGTATATGAAAGACATTTGTGAGTATCGTAAATACAAAATCTCTTGAAAATAGTATTTTTTGTTTTTGCAACTGTAAGTCAAATTTCTTTTCAGCGATTTATAATTATTTTTATCATTTTATAATGTTAAAACTTTTCTATTTTTACGATATGCTACGTTAATTATTATGCACTAAATTATGTTTATATATTACAAATATATTTTTATGTAGATTATTTAGCTGCTATGGGAGAACCCGGTGGTGGCAGGAACGAAGTCGATCCGCGATTTATCTCGATGTTCTCAGTTTATAATGTGACTTTTCCATCGAGTGAGACTCTCAATTATATTTACACGAGTATTTTGTCCGGCCATCTGCAAACATTTTCCGAGGAAGTTCAATCTATCGCAAACGGACTCGTACAAATGATGTTGGAACTTTACGAGGTAATTTCGCGACAAATATTTATTATATTAAAAATATCAACAACATGTGATGCTATTCAGACAGTTAGGAAGACGTTACTACCGACGCCGTCCAAGTTCCACTACATCTTCAACATGCGCGATCTCTCGAGGATCACGGCTGGACTTCTTCAGAGTCATTCTAACTTCTATCCAGGCGTAAAACAATTCGTTAGACTCTGGAGAAACGAAGTTACCAGAGTCATGTGCGATCGTCTAATTAGCGCGCAAGTAATAAGCTTTTTACTTATTCTTTCCGTTTAATAAAAACTTCACTTGTAAACAATTTCGTCATTCTAGGACGAGAATTTCGTCATCAAGCAGCTGAAGGAGAAGATACAGAATTATTGGGAATTAGAACCAGAAGTGATCCAGTACAGCTTACGAGACCCGATGCTTTACGGTGATTTTAGAAACAACGAGGACGAGGCTAGATTTTACGAGGATCTGTTGGACTACGAGGCGGTTTACAGCTTGTTCTTGGAAGTTTGTTCTTTTGCTTCGAAGTTGATTTTTTTCAATTAATCACAGAAAAAAAGAAATCCTTGATTCAAGTATATTTTTATTCTTGGACGCTATTTGATTGATTTAAGCATAGAATGCTCTTTGTAATCACAAATTTTCATTTGCCTTAATAATAAATAAGTTTGTGTAAAGTATATTTTATCTTTAAGATATATTCTTGTTTTAAAAATCGCATATGATAAAAACAAACTTAGTCACATTTGAACTAAGAATTATTATATATACTTGAAAGTACCGCTTATATCCGATGCTCACTTGTCACTTGTCCTTGCAATATTTATAAGTAAATTTTAGCTTCAACCAATAATATTTTGCACTTTGTTTTAAGGATAAATTATCCTTTATCCAAAATTATTTATATTTGGCGCTATTATAAGGATAAAATATACTTGAATCAAGGCATATTTGCATTCTTTCAAGGATACTGTTTTTTCTGTGATATATTAATTTCCGATGCAATTCGATTGCAATATTACGTTGACAAAATGATACACTCTTGAAAATTTCACGCTATGCCTAGATTTTTGATAAGTACAACGAGAGGACCAGAACCAAGCTGAATATGGTCCTCTTTAATGACGCGCTCGAGCACCTCACCAGGGTGCATCGTGCACTTCGAATGCATCGAGGGCATGTGTTGGTCGTCGGCATCGGTGGCAGCGGTAAGAAATCTGTGATAAAGCTAGCGTCCTTCGCTGCCGGGTATCAGTTCTTCGAGATCGTCCTGAGTCGCGGTTACAACGAGGCATTCTTCCGTGAAGACATGAAGAGACTGTACAACATAATAGGCGTGGAAAATCAAAAAGTCGTCTTTATGTTCACGTCCGCCCACATCAAGAGTGAGAGCTTCCTCGAACTGGTGAACAACATGCTGACGTCGGGTTCCGTGCCGACTCTCTTCAACGACGAAGAGAGGGATGCGATTGTCGTTTCCTGCAGAGACGCGGCTGTTAACGCGGGCTTCGATATCGCAAAGTGATTTTTATACTTTGTTATCTCGGATCCAGTTTACATACATGAGTCATTTATTAATTATATAATTATATAATTTATAATCATATATATTTATATAAATTAATTATATAATTATATAATTTACAATTATATATGTATATTTATATAAATTTTAATTATAATTATTTATATTTATATAAATTTTAATTATAATTAAATAATTAATTATAATTATAAATAAATGTATATAATTATTTATATTTATATAAATTATATAATTATATATAATTACATCATTTATTCTTGATTCTAGGAAGAGCGTCTGGTCGTACTTTATTAAGACGTGCACCGCGAATTTGCGAATAGCGCTGGCGATGAATCCATCGGGCGACGCTTTGCGAACGCGATGCCGCAATTATCCGGGTCTGATCAACAACACTACCGTGGATTGGATGTTTCCGTGGCCGGAACAGGCCTTGGTCGCTGTGGCGAACGTTCTTCTCAGAGACGTAAGCGAAGACACGCACGTGAGCGAGGGTGGACGCTCGACGAAATGAAAAAACTCTCACTTCCAGAATCCGATCGTGCCGCAGGAACACAGGGAGATGATCGTAGATCACATCGTGTACGTGCACACGTCCATGTTGCAATACACGGTGGACTTCGCGACGAAGCTGAAGAGACGGAACTACGTCACGCCGAGACATTTTCTGGATTTCATCAACACTTACTTGAAGTTACTCACGGAGAAGAAGAACTTTATAAATTCTCACCGCGCGCGTCTTTCCGGAGGTATAGCTGTGTAATTTTCTTACAAATTAGTTTTTTATTAATAATAATAATATCATTAAATTATATTAATAAATTAATGATCTAAATTAATTAATTATATTAATTAAATTAATAATAATAATATGTAGTAGCAAATTTAATGATATTTTAAATCCTTTTCAAGTTTAAAGTCTCAAGAAATTATTATATCCTTTAAGAAAAGGAATAATTTTATATCGGATGATTCTTCAATAAATATTTCTGTCAGGATTGCAAAAAATCGCAGAGGCTTCAGGGACTCTGATCGAACTGAACGAAGTTCTAGCTAAGCAAAGGCTCAAAGTGGCCGATCAGACGAAGAATTGTGAACAACTGCTCGCGTCCATCGGCGAAAGCACGGATATCACGATGGAGAAGAAGAGTCTGAGAGAGGTGAAAAGGAAGGAAATCGAGGACAAGAAGAAGATCATTGCTAAGGAGGAAGCGGAAGCCAAGCAGGCATTAGCGGAGGCTAAACCGGCTCTCGACTCGGCCAGACGCGCACTGGGCGAACTCCATAAAGCCGACATCACGGAAATCAGGTGATTCAGAATCAATTTTTCAGAAAATTCTCTTCTACACAAATATTAAATCAAGATATACACTCCTCCAAATAATTAAGGGATCAAAAAAGTTGTCCAAAAAATAAGCAAATTTTAAATAGCTGTAACTTTGTTTCAAAAAATGATAATTTAAATTTTAAAAAAGGGTTTTAAAGCTTGAAATCTCTACTTTCCAGAAGTCATAGCTTTTTCATTTTCTTCAATTCTAATATTTTTTTATATACAGAAAATCACAAACATAACGAAATGGAAAATTTCTTCTCACTTTGCAGACATGTCGCATACGTAAAAAGATTTGAAAAAAAATTTTTGACATTTTCACGTTAAAGCCTGTAGTTTTCCCTGCAAAATCGTTTTTTAAAATATAAATTTTAATCTTTTCTTATCAAGTTATCGCAAATTGAAGAGAAAATGCCATTTTCACTTTAATCGTTCATAACTTCGTTAAAAATCATTGTACAGTAATTTTAACAATGGATTCTTAAAGCTAAATCTTTGCTCTATAGTATGATATAAAGATCGACTTTTTCTAATTACTTAAACTTTTTACAAATAGATGAAAATAACAAAGAAATTCGTGAATTTTCTCCTTTTTGTTTAAACTTTGAAAAAAAAGTTATGTAAAGCGACTAAAAGAATTTTATCGATTGAAATTTTTGTCCCTTCTAGTACCCCAAACTTGCTAGTACTACAGACTCGCTGTGATTCTTTGTTAAGTTTGTAGTAGGCACAAAAATTTCAATTATTTTGAGAAGTGTATTATAAAACATTTAATTAAAATATTTAACAAATATTTAATTTTGAAATATTTAATATCAAATTGGAAAAATGTAAAGAGAGAGACGCTTAATTAAGAGACTTAAAGAAAGACAATCAAACTTAATTCAGTCTCCAATAACTCGTTTAAGAGTCTTGACGTAATGTCAATATTTTTTTTTATCATTAGTATTTTTATTTTTACAAATCACTTGATAAGGACTCAAATAAGAAGAGTCGAAACTCTTGTGATTGAATAAATAATATTTGCCAGTACGATCGAGAGAAGATTCTTACCTTTTTTTTAAATTCTGTCTGGCGATTCTCAAATATCTACGTTTTTATTAATTCAGATCCTTCGCGACTCCGCCCGAGCCGGTGCAGATCGTTTCGGAATGCGTCGCGATGCTTCGTGGCATGAAGGATGTGTCCTGGAAAGGCGCGAAAGGGATGATGAGCGATCCGGGATTCGTCAGGGCCTTGCAGGACATGAACTGCGATCAGTTCAGTCCGAAGCAACAGCAAGCCGTACGAACGCACTTGAAGAAGACGGACAAGCTGGATCAAATGCAGGCCATCAGCAAAGCGGGATTCGGCCTCTATAAATTTGTCCTCGCCGTTTTGGATTACTGCACCGTTTACAGAGAGGTACTCACATCATTTCCTAAGCTTTATATTAATCGACTTTATTTTTTTAAAACGTGGATTTAATTCTCATCTTTATTCTCTTACACTCTTCGTCATTAAATCATATATTGCACACACTGAAAAAAAGTTTATTAAATTAGAATAAATATTTATTTCAATATACTGTGTAATAAATCATTTATTTCAAACTAATAATGTTGATTTGATGTGAAAAATATTTATTTGACATAAGAAAATCTTTCGAAGCAGATAAATATTTATTAATTAAATATTTATTAATTTAATATTTTTTCAGCGCATATATAGAACTTCTACGCTTTTTAATTTTTTAAGACATAGAAATATCAGATACATTCCGACATCAATAACCCACTGTTTCAGGTAAAACCGAAGATAGATAGAGTCCAGGCACTCGAAACAGAGTCTGAGAAAGCTAGACGCGCCTTAGAAAAGCAAGAACGAGAGTTAAAGCGACTGGAAAAAACGATCGAGGAATTAAATGAGAAATATGCGGTAGCGATAACCGAACGACAGGAATTACAAGATGAAACAGACTTGCTGCAACGACGTTTGTTGGCCGCCGATAAACTCATCTCCGGAATGTCATCCGAGAACGAACGTTGGCAAAAAGATCTAGCGATTCTGCACGACGATGTAGAGAAGATCACGGGAAATTGCTTGTTCGGAGCGGCGTTCCTCGCCTACAGCGGTCCATTTTCCTACGAATTCAGAAATGAAATGTACAGCGATTGGCAGAGCAGCATCCTGGAGCGAGATCTACCTATGTCAAAGCCCTTTAAACTCGAGACTCAATTAAGCGACGACGTTGAAATCAGCACGTAAGTAAAATTAGAGCTTAATTGTGAAATAAATACATTTATATTAATTAAAAAAGATATTAATTCAGTTCTCTCTTTTATTATTTTATCATACATTAACGTATGGATTCAAATTAAAATTTTAAAAATACTATCAATTTTTTCAAATTAGCAGTAAAATAAAAATAATCATTGTTCCTACAGATGCAGCTACTTTATTTTATCTAATTAATATTTGTATAATTAAAACTTTGACTAAAAAAATCGTTGCATCTTTTTAACATTTAATGCAACTTGAAGATGGAACTCGGAAGGTCTCCCACCGGATGAGCTATCCGTGCAAAATGGCATATTGACTATGAAAGCATCCAGATTTCCGCTTTGCATCGATCCGCAACAACAAGCGCTAAATTGGATCAAGAAGAGAGAGGAGAAGAAGAATCTAAAGATTTTGTCCTTCACGGACGCAGATTTCTTGAAACAAATGGAATTGGCGATCCAATATGGTTTTCCGGTACTTCTTCAGGATGTCGACGAGATCGATCCTATCTTGGATAACGTTTTATCAAGAAACATTCAAGGTAAGTAATAAAATAATAAAATTTAAAAAATCCTAATTTTATTGAAATGTAGGAATTGATTTGATTTTATAGTAAATTAATTTGTTCTTTGTTGCAGTCGCTGAAGGACGAACTTTTGTCATTCTCGGTGATAAAGAGATAGATTATGATCCAAGATTTCATATATATTTGACAACCAAAATGACCAATCCTATGCTGGATCCCGCCATGTATGCTAAAGCAGTTGTTATCAATTATATGGTCACCACAGCCGTGAGTTTAATTTAATTAATTACATTTTTGATACCATGTTATAGCTATAACTTACATTTATTAAATTAATATTTTATATTCGTATATTAAATTCAAAAATATTGATTTGAAAAAATCTTTCGTATTCCAATATGAAATTTTACACGATAAAACTTCCCAAGACACATCTCTTCAGGGTTTGGAGAACCAACTTTTATCAGTCGTCGTGAGAATCGAAAGACCGGACATCGAGGAGCAACGAGAGACGTTGATCCTGGAAACGAGCGAGAACAAGAATTTGTTGCAACAACTGGAAGACAGTCTTCTGCGCGAAATCGCGACGAATCAGGGTAACATGCTGGACAACATTGATTTGATCGAGACTCTGGAGAACATCAAGGCTAGAGTCAGCGAGGTGATGACGAAGCTATTCCTCGCGGAGGTCACCTCGGCGGACATAGATAAACTTCGGGAAGGCTATCGTCCGGTGGCGGAACGAGGCGCTATCCTGTTCTCCGTGTTAGCCGATATGGCTACCGTCAACTCGATGTATCAGTATTCTCTGATCAGCTACGTCGAGGTGTTTATCCACTCGCTGAAGAGATCGCTGCCGGATCCGATGCTCGCCAAACGACTCCAGAACATCATTCCGACGTTGACGAAGAACGTCTATGATTACGGCTGCACCGGCATTTTCGAGCGACACAAATTACTCTTCTCCCTGCAAATTTGCATGAGAATAGAAAGAAGTGTGGACAACGTCAATCAGAAGCAGCTGGAGTTCTTCATCAAGGGTAGCATGGCCTTGGGAAAATCGCCACAATTGAATCCCACCAGATGGTTGCCGCAATCGGGCTGGGAGGATATTCTCAAGCTGGCGAGCGATTTTCCGGATAAATTCCAACAACTTCCAGAAGAGCTGCGAGATTGCGAGGATGAATGGAAACAGGTATACATTCTAATTCATTAGTCAAACAATTGAATTTTATGTTATAGCTAAATAATAATAGAAAATAATTATCATATTAAGGGATCAAAAAATTGTCCAAAAAATAAATTTTAGATAGCAAATTTTAAATAGCTGTAACTTGTTTCGACAAATGAAAAAAATATCAGAATTGAAGAAAATGAAAGAAGCTATGACCTTTCGAAAAGTAGAGATTTCAAGCTTTGAAACTCTTTTTTTAAATTTAAATTATCGAAATAAAGTTACAGCTATTTAAAATTTGCTTATTTTTTTGGACAATTTTTTTGATCTCTTAATTATTTTAAGGAGTGTAATTTAAGTCATTCTTAAATTGAATCAAAGATTGTGTGATAAATACAAATTCCCTTGAAATGTGTGATAACAAATGAATGAATTTTCGTTTCAGTGGAACGACTCAGATATGCCGGAATCGGACGAACTTCCATGCGACTATAACACACGATTGACACCCTTTGAGAAACTGATGCTGATGCGCTGCTTCCGTGTGGATCGCGTTTATCGCAGCATCATTAATTACATTACCGACATCATGGGTGAGCAGTATATAACGCCGCCTCACGTGAGCTTTGATATGATTTTCGAGGAGAGTACACCCACCATGCCCGTGGTCTTCCTATTGAGTCCAGGATCAGATCCCACTTCGGAGCTGATGAAGCTGGCCGATCGATACGGCTGTGGCGGAGGAAAGTTTAGATATCTCTCGCTCGGTCAAAGTCAAGACAAGGTGAGATAACGCATATGTAACTTGATTTTCATAATTTATTCTTTTATAATAATAATTATAATAATTGTTCTTTAATAATAAAATCTTAAAAATTGCAACGTATGCATAAAAATTATTATGATGCACGCGCATAAAAATATATTAATTATGCGATGCATAAAAAAAAATTCAATATTTAAATCTTTAACAGACAATGCGAACAAAAAGAATAGAATTTTCTACAAGATATATAGAAATATAGAGTGTTAATTATTTTAATAAAAAAAAAAATTTTTTATATAATAGATTGCGATGGAATTATTGGATATAGCGATGACGAGAGGTCAGTGGCTGATGTTCCAGAACTGTCATCTACTATTGTCCTTTACCAAAAATTTAGAAAAGATTGTGGAAAATATAGGAAAGCCTCATCCTGACTTCCGCTTATGGCTCACCACGGAACCGATTCCTAATTTTCCAATCGGAATACTGCAACAATCACTGAAAGGTATAATAAAATTATACTTCATCGTTATACATTGTTTTTGAAAACGAATAATTTACAGTGGTAATGGAACCACCGAGCGGCTTGAAACTAAATTTGCAAAACACATACTTCAACATGCGACCACAGGTTTTGGAAAGTTGTTCTCATCCCGTTTACAAGCACTTAATTTACGTTCTAGTCTTTTATCACGCGGTTATCCAGGTAAATTTCAGAAAATCGATACATTTTTATTAATAATACAGGAAAAATTGTTATTAAAAAATTAAATATAAATAATGAAAAATAAATTTTGGCTCGTGTAAAATTAAAATAAGTAATAAATTTAAAAGGCCAACTTTACGAGCTAATTGATTAGGTGTTAAAAAATTTTTTTATTCTACGTCATGAAAATAATACAAATAATAATTAGTATACTAATCGTCATGAAAATAATACAAATAATAATTAGTATACTAATTATTATTTGTATTATTTTCATGACGTAGAATAAAAAAATTTTTTAACACCTAATCAATTAGCTCGTAAAGTTGGCCTTTTAAATTTATTAATTATTAAAAAATTATTTAATATATCGCAGGAGAGAAGAAGATACGGCAAAATTGGATGGAACATAAAATACGATTTCAACGAATCAGATTTTAATGTGTGTACTACCATTCTGAGTACTTATTTGACAAAAGCTTTAGCATCAAAGGAGTCTACTGTACCTTGGAACAGCCTCAAGTATCTAATTGGAGAGGTACGAATTCTAAATCTCTCTAAAGATCTTCTCTAATTCCGATATTCTCCTATTTTCTTAAGTATATTGTCTGTCTTAAATATTTCTTAAACAAACAAATTTCCACAACATTTATTGCATTTTGTATTTAAAAATAATTCACACAGGTGATGTACGGCGGAAGAGTGATGGACAGCTACGATCGTCGCGTTTCTTACACCTATATGAACGAATATTTCGGTGATTTTCTGTTCGACGAGTTTCAACCGTTTCACTTTTATAAGGATACCGTCGACTACGTGATACCACCAGAAGGAAATCGCGACGATTATCTGCAATTTATCGAGGAACTTCCTCTCGTGAACACTCCGGAAGTGTTTGGATTGCATCCGAATGCCGAGATTGGATACTTTACGCAAACGGTCAAGAGAATATGGAAACATCTCATTGAACTTCAGCCACAAACCGGTACGAATACTATATTTTTTTTTCATCGTATATTATACGCGTCTTTAATATTTATCATTTAATCTCATTAAGAAAGTTATTTATCATTCTTATAAATGCTTTAAGATATATATGTTATTTAAAGTATTATTTGAGATATTTAAAATATCATAAAATATATATTATATTATTAAAAATACTTTATAACATAAGGAAGATCAAAATGAGTGAAAGTAGATTTATATAATTAATTATCATAATTCTATCAAGTCATATTTTTGTTGCTATTATATCTTGTCTGCAAAAGTTATATTTCAATTATGTTTTGGCAAAGAAATATAAATTATTGGTATATAATTGAGAACTGTTTTTAGCACGCTTGGATAAAAAGAGTAAGTGGTACATTAAAAAGCACATTGCATATTTTTCGATGAAAATCATAATGACATGCCATGGATTAAATTTACAGCGGTGAGTGTCACCGGTGTCAGCAAGGATGAATTCATCGATAACATAGCGAAAGAGATCTCGACCAAAATACCCGCGCCATATGATATTAACAAGGTCAAGAGAAATTTTGGCGTGGCCGTGACACCGACTGCAATTGTCTTATTTCAAGAATTGGAAAGATTCAATAAATTAACGGAAACGATAACGAGGACATTAAACCAACTGAGAAAGGTCGTGAAATAAACTTAAAAATATTTTCATCATTTACTCTTATCAATCCCATTTTATCATTGCATTTACTTCCTGTTTAACAAATATATATATATATATATATATATATATATATATATACACATATATATTAAAGAGAGAAAACAAAAAGACGAATTTTCAAATAATAGATGTTAATTTTATTTTATTGTTTTTATAACATAATTTTAATATTTCTTTGCTGAATTGATTACATTAATTAAGATGCAACTTAGTATCCGCATTGAAATGTTTCACTTTTAATTTTAGGCCATCGCCGGCGAAATCGGAATGGACGAGACGCTGGAAAACATTTCTGTGGCTCTTTATAACGGTATTCTGCCCAAAGAATGGGCGAAATTCGCACCGGACACACGAAAGAATCTTGCCGGTTGGATGAATCATTTTCAAAGAAGAATAGACCAATACACTAATTGGGTAAGGGATTGAACGGGCAATTATATTCGTTCTATTTAATGATACTTTCCTTCATCTCCATCAGTCCGGAGCGAACGAGCCCGTGGTACTGTGGTTGTCTGGATTGCACGTGCCGGAAACTTACGTGGCAGCTTTAATTCAGATAGCTTGTCGTAAGAACAATTGGCCCCTCGATCGTTCTGTCATTTACACAACGGTGTCGAAGTTCTCCAAGCCTGACGATGTAGAAGAAAGACCCGATCAGGTGAATTTTTCCATGCGATATTTATTTCTCTTATATTTTTCAGTGTTTTTTTTTATTATAGACACACTGAAAAAAATTATTTAATTTGAATAAGTATTTATTTCAATATATACTGCCAAATAAATCAGTTATTTGAAACTAATAATATTGGTTTGATGGAAAAATATTTATTTGATACAAGAAAATCCTGGTCGAAACAAATAAATAAATTTATTTATTTTAAATAAATGATTTATTAGGCAGTATTGAAATAAATATTTATTAATTTAGTCATTTTTTCAGTGCAATAATGTCAATAATTATTCTATTATATATCTGCGTTTAATAAATAGGGCTGTTACGTGTACGGATTATATTTGGAAGGCGCCAGATGGGATGTCGAGGAGCATCGTTTAAAAAGATCGCATCCGAAAGTTTTAATAGAGGAGCTACCAATATTAACAATTATACCTACTGAAATCCATAGACTGAAATTACAGGTATCGAATTAGCACTAATTTTTATATCTGTTTCACATTAAAAAACGAGCAAACATCACGTTGTTTCTTATTATTTATTTCAAATTAAAAGATTGACGAGTTACATCTTTGAAAATAATTCTTATGAAATGAAATGAAATTGAATTGTAAATTAGAAAGATATTTTTTTTTATTTACCTTACAGAATACGTTTAAAACTCCCGTATATACTACATTGAACCGACGAAATGCTCTCGATGTTGGTTTGGTTTTCGAGGCAGATTTGGCGACTCCGGAACATATTTCACACTGGGTACTTCAGGGTGTTTGTCTTGTGTTAAATACGGATTAAAAATTCGTACTCGAAATCGACGCTCGAACTATTGTATTTTTCAATATATTTATTATGTATTAATATCGTGTTAATTAATATATTAGAGAACTAGTCGTAGTATATAGAGACAATCATTAAATTATATTTATCATTAAATTATATATATCATTAAATTGTATTTTCAATTATCACAATTTTGTCTACCTTTTTATTATATGTAATAGTTTTATAAATGTATAGGTCTATAAATTTTTTCTTATTCGAGAATAAAGCGGAAGAAAAAAAAAAATAGAGAATATTAAATTTATTTAACAATCTTTCAATTTCGATCGATTAAATCTTCGAAAAAAAGTTTTTTTATCAAATAAAAAAAACTCGAACTGACCGCCGATCACGTATGCGGATCAAAGAACTGAAGAACAACCCACATGCAATACATATCGACTCCAAACATGCATTTCACGCGTTACATCACTTTTTCCTTATAGGAAGAATATCTAATATGCTATTTATCACACAGTCCTCTATTTGAGTTTCGGTAAATACAAATTATAAGACGAGCTATCGACGATCGATCTATCGATGAACGACCTATCGAGAAACAACCTATCGACCTATCATTCAAGTTTTGTCCAGTGATTATTCCTCAAAAACCTTGGCTTTTTCGACAAATTATCGCGCCGAACTCTCAATATTCGCAATTAAAAATATTTCATTTTGACATTGATTTACCCGCGCGAATTTCACGCCAAGGTGAATCGGACATCGCGAGGACGCACAAAGCGCTGACGTGAATGAACACTCGAGTCATTGGAATCTCGTAGTATCGTAGCAGAAGGCCAATTGAAGCGCGCGCGCGAGAGAGAGAGAGAGAGAGAGTGAGAGAGAGAGGGAGAGAGTGGAGCGTAGATATTTTGTGGAAAGGCGGAAAGCAGAATTGTGCCAAGCGTTCGTCACGCATCGAGTGCTCGCCACGGTTGGGTGGAAAAAAACGCGCCGTTTTCCAGGGAAAAATGAGAGCGACGTCTTCATGCACGGTAAACTGATTAACGGTCTTATCCAATTAGCTAAGTAAGTCGGTTCGTCCGAGACTGGACACTGCTTGTGTCAGGCTGATCGTTTGACAGCTACACAATAGGCAGCTATTTATCGATTTTTCCGAAACGTCATTCGCGAAATTCATGTCCACGTTGGAAAAGTTGTAGCTACTCGAGCTGGATTTCGATTTTTGTGCATTTGACAGTTCGCTTTCGCGTCGCGAATCGAAATGTCAAAGATGCCAGTGACTCTGAAATTATTTTAGGTTATGTTGTGCAACGTCGTATTTTGTTTTGTAACACTCTGCTCCTAGTATATCGCTTAGAGATTGTTTGAGACGACGTGAGATCTCTAGAAACTGTATTTCAACGAGTCGTCAGATGTTTCATTATTTTTCTCGGGTTTAACGATCGAGCGTACACCGTGTGATTGTATTGTTTATTGACATTTCATTCTGCTAATTGTTTTCCATCAGTGAAACTATAGGAGGAGAGAATCTGACACTATTCTCGAGAAGGTAGGAAATGTACGGCGCCGAGAGGGAGGAAGTGTCTGAAAGTTGGTTACATACGTATGATCTGAGCAGTACTATGATTCCCAATATAAGTACAGCGATTGAGGATGAGGAGCATTTTTGCAAGCTTATTCTGTATAAGGAAATCAAAGATTCAAGGTACGTGTTAAGACTCAGGATGCGACAAGATAATCAGCTTTATGACAAATTTCATTCTTGCGTTTATCTTTCAGAGTACGAATATGGGATGTCATCATTCTAATACCAAATCTGTTGTTCCTTCTATTCATCGCGATGCGATTCAACAGAGCAAGGCTTAAATTACGTGCAACGAGTAGTCCGATATTTTTAGCGTTTTACGGTCTCGTTATTTGTAATGTAGTTATATCAGTGATACGCTGCATTGTATCGATGTCTGTAAACGCAGCGGCGACAGTTGGTGGCAAGGCTGACAAAGTTTTGTGGGTCACAGTGAGATTTTTTCTACTATCTACCGAGATGAGTGTAGTTATATTTGGTTTAGCATTTGGTGAGTGACATATTTTCAGAGTCTTGAGAAAGGAAAGGGAATGTGTGATATTTCCTAACGTGTAATTTTTCATTTCCTTTACTTTAGGTCACTTGGACAGCCGTTCTAGTATTCGTAGAGTACTACTTGCAACATCATTTATAGCATTGGCTTTCACGATCACTCAAGGAACATTGGAATTAGTTCTGCCGGACGATACATTTCATATTCCCAGCCGTGATTTTTACGTGTTTGGTCACGGCGGCATGATGTTTTGGTTTTGCAGCAGTCTCGTTTTTACTACGGTATGCTTGCGCACGCCGTTTTTTTTTTAATTTTTGGTCAAATTTGATACCTACATCGCTGAATATGTCGATATCGCTTTTAGATATATCTCTTCATATTAATACTGCCATGGACACGGTTACGAGACCGCCTAGCACTTCCTAGTAAGTAATTCTCATCACATTATATAATGCTTCCTCGTTGATTGTGATTATAAATATACGCTTCCTGTTGCAGCACGGAAAAGCTTTTACATTTATGCTGGAACGCTGGCGACGTTGGATTTAGTGCAATCAATTGGTGCAGGCTTTCTAAACTATACTCAAAATCCAGTGGGATTATGCATTGTAGATTTCACAGCAGCAGTATATTTAACTCTTTTTACTCCTTTGGTTTATCATACATTCCTATCGGAATTCTTCGGGTAAGCTACTGCAATATAACAATACATTAGCAATTTGAATAATGGGTTTGGATGTTCGACTGATATATTTTGTAAATTCTGCTTTCAGGGTTTCACAACCATCAATAATGTTCTCTTACAAGGCACAAGTGGACGACGCAATGGACGAAGACACGGTGTCGTTACCGCATCAACAGAGTTTTTCATCCTTGAAAACCGACAGCGATTACATCTATCAGGTCCATACTCCTTCTATTCACATACCGCTGTATGATTCTCAAGCATTGAAATCCTCCAAGCAGGGAGCTTCTCTTTATTCCTTAACATCAGCTAGAGACCCGAAAAATAGCGACTCGAGCACCTTCGGTTCACCAATTAGATCGTTTCGCTCGACAACCGGTATTAAAAGCTTCGATAGAGATCTGACCATAGAAAAGAATATTTCGGAATTGACTAATTATCCTTTGATCAGATCTGACTTATCCTCCCAAAAGAGCGTGCCGGATTTAAGACTCTCCAGCCCGAGCAGGAAAGCCATTTCTGTGACGCATGTTAAGTACGATGGTCCCAGTAGTGTCTCAAATTTGCTCTTCTCGCCCGATACCGCTAGTAACTTTCTCTACAAACCGAAAACAATCGACAGTAACGTTAACTTGTACTCTCAAACGAGAAAAAGTAGCTTAGAAGGCGTGTTGGATAACGCTTCTGCGGATCCCGCGGCTATAGTTGAGAACATTCCGCATGGAGACAGTAATTTTTCGGAAATACCTCAGGTTCCAGCGCTAGAAAATAGCTTACAGTCCATTTTGGAGAGTTGCACGCACAAAATTGAAACGGAGGATTTCCAAGAATCTCGATTAAGCGATGATTTAGCGCTCCAAGAGAGCGCTTCCACCATAAATCAGAGCTATTTAATGACGCGTTTAGAGACTGATTTCTCAAAAGACTATTCGGACGATATGATGTCCAGTACATCTACTAATACTTCGAACACCACGCAACAATTACTTCCTAGATCGAGTTTCTCTCGTTCAACCGTAGCCTATCGAAAGAACAAAAATAATTCGAAAGAAGGAGAATCGGGCGGTTTAAGTGATTATTTGTTATCTATAACATCCCCAAAATTCGAAAAACACAAAAGGAACAAAACGCAACAAGATCCTGATTCCTCTCACGATTCAGATACGCAAACTGAATCTTTGTAGATAGCTTATTATCGTTGCAGTATCCGTGATTCACTGTATCTGTACACCATTGATAATTCTTCCAAGTTTTACATTTTTTATTTTATTAATAATTTGTTTATTAGTTATTTAATCAAGTTATTAATCTTCTATACAAGTTATTAATATTTATACATATATTACGCATTATAACGCATAATGGTAAAACCATTTGAGAGCTTTATCTAACTGTAAATATATCTTAGCATGTTTAGAGAAATAATATCGTATAATATAAAATTAAACGTATTGATGTAGTCAATGCATTTGGTTTCATTTATTTACACTAACTTCGGGCAATTTCCCCCTTGGCAACAATTTATCACGCTGCTTCTTCATGGACGGAATCTTGTAAAATATTTTCAAGCAAGATATTTCGTGTGTGATGCACCGTTTGCACTGCGCTTCAATAATGCATTATTACACGCGAGACACGATGTTTTATTATTAACAAAGTGCTTTGATGCTCAATTATATGCAGAGTTCAATTTATCAGCGTTATATTAACTTCACGGTAATTTTTTTTCTTTTTTTAATTGATTGACTGGATGGTCTGCCTCGGAATGCAAAGGGGAATGTTTTTTTCTTCTTTCTTTACAGAATCACAGCGTTTATGACTCGACCCAGTTCGACACGAACGCTACGCCAATCAACCCGCTCTACGCGGCGTCTCTTCAAAGTCCAGATAGTATTACCGGTTACAGTATAGACAGTCAAGAAGCACCGAACCCGCCAAATGGTTATCAACAATGAACTGTCGCGCATATCGGTTCGGTGTGCTACGGAAAAAGCTACAGAACGAACCTGGATACACACGAACAATTATTTCAACGATCAAATCATTTAATTTTACTAAGAACTTTGTGAAATCCCCCTTTAAATATGAAGAAGAATTCGCTACTTTTCCTCGAAAGGAGCGTGTCATACGAAAAAATTCGAAATTAGAATGAAAGTAGCGTTAAGATTGTCGCGAGTCTAAGGAAGGATTCTAGTCGCTCTTAAAGAATTCTCAAGGCCGTAATAAACACAGATGCTTTCGGTCTTCATGTGATAGTTGGCACTTGGTGCGCCAAATTGTGATCGCAAAATGCTGGAAGAAATCTCATAGAGACTCGGAATCTCCAGATAGTTTTAATTTGCTTTATTATTAGGGCCTGAGGTTTTTTCTCGAAGGATAATTAGAAGGTGTATAGCGTTAATTTATATTATTTTTGTACTTAAATAGATACTTTGTGTGAGATCGTCGCGCGAGTGAATTTTTTATAGCACATGAAAAATAGAACTTTTTCTTCAGCAAAACGCATTTATCCTAAAGCATGTACAAGATGTATAGGTCGTTTTAGGATTCACATACTGCCTCTCGAACGCAGACATATTCTCATTAGTCGTACCTTTTCTTTTTACTCATAAAATATATCTTCGTCCAAGTAAAGAGAGTTCGGTATAAGATATAATTAGAGAATAAAAATTCATATCAACATTTTTTTTAAATTATCACTATTACGCAATAACTACGTAATATGCGACTTTTGCAATATCCTGTCCTATATCTATATATATGCAGTGCGATCAATCTCGTAGCAAAGTTAGCAATATTATTCCCGTCTTTATTATTTTGTATTGAAAACTGCAAAAATTGTGGTGTGGCGGATTATCAATAAGACAAAAATGAACACTTAGATTTAACTTTCGAATCTTGTTTATCGTTTCTCCGTCCTTCTCATCAAAGTGGACGTCGTCGTATTGTTCGAAAGTGATCCTTCTTGCGTGTGAAACTACAAGTCGCGCAAGCAACAAGTCGGACACTCGCTATTTTCTTACTTTTGCATCGAAAATCATTAGATCGATTATACATATAAGGACAATAGGAGTCATTAAGATTAAACGTCGTGCGGAGATAATTTTTTAGATTTAAGAAAAACTCTTCGACACTCCAATAACTATTACTGAAGACTCCATCCATAATGTATATACATGATCTGTATTCTAATGTAAAGGATATCGTACTATTTATATATATTAATATATATACATATATTTATCGATATATTATATATCTACGTAATCTGACGATTGAGATCTGAACATTCACTCCTGCGTTATTCGCGTTTTTTTAATTGATTTATTTATTTTTTTTTAATTAAACGTTTATTGGTCTTACGCAGGAGGAAAGATAAGAGAAAATATACACAAAATTAGCATTATAGAATTGACGAAATGTTTATCAGGCCCGAAGACGCGATTATAAGTTCACGAGGTTGCAGATCCTTCGTTTTCCTATGTGCATTTTAGACCAAGGAAAACTAAGAGCGAAAGAAAAATCACAAGTGATAACATAACTACGTATTTTCTAGCATTTAAGTCATTCGAACTTGTATATACGGAACGAAACAGCATGGAACGGCGTTAATTCTCTGTCAATTGCAATTGCTTTTTACCATCTCCGACTATCAATCACCCCGCACTCTTCACGAACGTTACCTGCGATCGTCTGACCGTGTGTGATTCTTTTGTAAGCATCGAGTGCAGTATATAAGGCAATATTATGTGATCGCGTCATATAGCTATATACTTGATTGAAAAAAAGATAAAATAAAAAATAAATTACAATTCGCTGGATGTTTCATATTTTCTTGAAAATCTTACGCAGTTCTTCGATTCGTATAACCCGGCTAATACATATATATTATCTTACAATTAGTACAATTAAGTGTTCTAATTGAATGCTTATATGCATATATATTTCGATTAATTTCTGATGAAATTCGTGCCGTGATAATATAAAAAACGATTCGTGTTGAATATGCATTAAGATATTTATCTTAAAAATTTTAACGCTAAAGAGGCAGCCAATAAATCTCAATTTGTAATTATATTTCGAGTAATTCTTTTATATTAGATATAAATAAAATTATACTATTGTTAGAGAAACTTTTATGTTTAATTAAATACAGGAAGCGAATATGGATCAAAGATATTACGAAGGAAGTTGTACGAGCATTTGTCAGATGGCGAAGCAAGTATATCTGAGAATTACGCTACATGCTATTTCAAAAAAGGATTAGAATCATATATGAGACAAATAGTAAGATATTACAAGTTAATTTCAATTTATAATATGTATCTTATATTTTTTCATATATATTTAATAATTTTTTGTAGAAATCATATTTTCTAACAAGGCAAATGCAAATGTATGTACACCGACGTTATTAAATACCGCTTGAAAATTCAATACGCGACGACATATGCAGATAATATTATTCATCAGCAAAGTCTTTAGCATAAATATGAAGGGATCATTGACTTGTATCGCTTTGCGTGCCGATCGCTACGACTTAACGTCACGAAAAACTTTCTCTTTATATTAAACTCGGTCAATGGCGTATGTTATTCAATCAGGGTTCGAAGGTGAGATTATGTTCACAACGGCGTGTCGAATTCGAGATCGGCAGGTCCAACATGACTCACAGACAAATATTCCGTAATGCAAATAATCCAATATATTACCTACGCAATATGATAGTCGCAATAAAAATAGCTCGAATAGTACGGATTAAATAACAAATAACGATACCATACGATTAGAGCTTGAATATATAGAGTTTATAAGTTATCTTGCGTATTCTTTTTTCACAGTTTAGACGGCAGCAAAGGGTAGAAGTTCCAAACATTGCGCACTATCGCGTCATCGCATGTGAAAGCTCGAAGCACGTCGGGATCTGGAACGACAATAGAGAAGCAAAAGGTAAATCTTTAATTCTATCTAATTTCTACTAAAATAACAGTAAATCGAAAAAAAACCGAAGGACAATATAAAATATTTTAGCTCCGCGCCACACAATTAATTTTATAATTACTCTCTGATCTCAAAAACTATACATGTATATAATTAAATATCTTCTCCGCAATATGATGAACTTGATTTGCGGAAAGGATTAAAAATTTTCGCTCGCACTTCGGTGCGGCTCTACTATGTAGCATCTTTCGTTCCCTGCAGCGCGGAAGGTTTATAGTCCAGGCATCGTCCAAATTATATAGTCGTTAGATCGTCGTCAGTGGCCAATTTAGATTTGTTTACTGACTGTCAGTGCGCAAGTATTCCCGCAAGGGCCGGTCCACCGTGGCGGCCGGTACCGCCAAGCTCATCCGCGGGTACAGGACGGCACCGTCCGACGAGAGCGCGTTGCACACAATCATTCCCAGCATCTCGCCGGTCGCGCGGCTGACTATCGGCCCGCCGCTGGTACCGCTCTGGGCGCAACAAGTTGTCAGGAGCGCGCAGTCCATCGACTTGGAGACGACGCCGCTGCTGATGGTCGGCCGGATGGACGAGGAGAACGGAAATCCCACGGAGACCACCGGCTCGCCTGTGAGCAGGTGTGTACGTACGTAATTAATAGGATTTATTTCAACAAATTTTTTTTTTTTATGTTTCATTTTTTATTGACTAAGAGGTTCAGATCCTAATACCGTTATAGTTCTTTGCATATGTTAAAAAAATCAAAGATTAATAATAAAGAAAGAATAATAATAGTAGAAACTGAAGAAATTGTCCAAGAGAATTATTATTAACTTTAATAAATGATATTTGTGCTTTATTTCATTCGTAAGACGGAGACTTTTTTAAAAATTTCGCACAGTAATTCGTGATAAAAATGATCAAATGATTTATTTCAGCAAATATTTGTTCTATATATTTTATTTTTTATTGATTAAGAAATTGAGATGTTTTTAAATCGTTAGTTCTTTACATGTTAAAAAGATCAAAGATTAATAGCAGAATAATAATCGTAGAACCTGAAGAAATTGTCCAAGAGAATTATTAGTAACTTTAATAAATAATATTTGCTTTATTTCATTCGTAAGACGGATACTGTTTCAAAAATTTTGCACCGTAATTTGTAATAAAAATGATCAATAAAAGCAAGATTCTTATGGTAACGCGTAGTAAATAGATTTTTATTGCGATCGAGTAAATGGACATATGTATTGGTTTCTGAGTTAGAAGAAGGCCAAATATCAATTTCACCATTAACGACGATCAATTGACCCAATTTTTTCACAATTATACGTTATTTCTATCCTGATGAGGAAGAAGGTCAATGTTCCTGGCGTTGAGGCGCCAGGAAATCGTTATTGACACGCTGCTGGATATATCGCTAATTTCCTCTTGTTGAGAAAAGCTATGAGCTTCGATATCTATTGTTCGAAATGTTCTTAGATAACAGTTCGAAGTGGATAAAAATTATTGGGACTAACACATTTCGCTTTTGCATCTTTAGAGCTAAAATTAAAAAATAAAAATAGTGAAAAAGCAAAGGAACTGAATTTACCTTTTACAACCGGAGCACGAGACAATCGTATCGACTGCAATGAAGGATCCACATCCTGTGGATTTACTCTCAATACAGCCACGTCGTAAGGCTGATTCTCCGGGGTTCTATACAACAATTTCGCCCACGCGCGTGAATTGGTCTGGTCTCTGCTCATTTCGATTGATATCTCCCTTTCTGGCGCCTATTGGAATTTATTTTGACTTAGCTGTAATTTTGTCGCATATAAAAAATTATCCATTTGCTATATTGCGCGTTAATATACCATTGCCACATGCTGAGCTTATTGCACTAAATGCGATTAATTTTTTTACGTCGCGTGCTAAAATATAGTTTGTATTTTTTTTTAAATATAGATACTAGAATATATACTTTTCTATTGCGTTTTTTCGCATAAGCTTCTAAGAGTTTGATTTTACCTCGCTGACGACGTGCGAGCACGTCAGAAATGTACCGGTATTCTTGTCCACGAGAACACCCGTGCCCCAATTAATCCCACATCTTACAAGCACGACACCTTTATCTAATGCTTCTATATATCAGAAAAAAAGATCAAGATTTTATCGCATATAAATACATATATTAAAAAATAGAAAATAGAAAAAATAAGAGTATAAAAACAAAAAATAAATGTATTAGAAAAAATTAATGTATCAGAAAATAGAAAAAAATAACGTTTATATTAACGAACCATCTTTCTGGTAACTTATTATGATCGAAGAACAAGGATCCTTCGTTCGTAAAATGTTGAGCAAACACGGAGCAAGATTGGCGGCGAAGGTGTAATCCACCCATTCTCCACGACACCAGCTTAACGGCGCGATCACCATCCCGCTGATAATTCGACGTTTGCTATAAAAACATCCGTGTCAAAAAATTCCAAACGCGATAAAATAACAAAATATGTATAATCATCGATTTGATCGTCGATTAGTGATCTCGGAATTTGGTTAAGAGAGAACTTCGAATCAAAAAATTTCGAAAAATTCTCAAAATAATAATTTATATAACACTTGCGATATATATTAAAATAATTATATTTTATAAATTCTTTGACAGCAGACAAATTTAAGGATGTCTCTCGAGGAAAAAGAATTTTTTAAAATAAATAAGAATCGTTATTACCAATCTGGCGAGATGACGTAGACGGGACCACCCTCGCTACCAGGAAATGCGTACGCGTCCGTCATGACGACGCAGTCCTCGTCGCCGACGACATTGCTGATGACCCCACGTGCGATCGAGCCAATGAATACGGGATTGCCGAAGGGCGTGGACTCGATTTCCACGGTCGATCCGCGAATAGGATTCCGCAGAACCACCTGGCCCAGCAGACAAGAGAGAGCTTGCTTGACCGTAGGAATTGTCACGATCGATTTTCCTTGAGAATCGGCGATGAAGACGAGCAGGTAGATCGGTCGCAGAAATCGATCGAACTTAATCGACGATTTCGGAAAGTTCCACGTTTTAAAGAACTCGTCGAAGGTCTTCGTCAGGAGTGGACACTTCCAAGCGGCCACGACGTTACCGAGATGTTCCTGAACGTGCGAATTATTGCTTGATCGAGGACCATTGTCGATCTCCGGATCGCGGTAAACTCGAAATTTCAATTCATTCGCGAGTTCCGTCGACGTGAGCGTGAGTTCTCCTGGTACCATTTTCGTGATGAACCTCGATATCGCGCGAGACTTGTCGATAATCGAGCCTAATGCGGTGCCATGCATCAGTATCCAATTTTTTGAGATCGAGATGCCACAGCTTCCTCGTGGTGTGATTCGTATATCTTTATCGATTGGCGAGTGCAGTAAAAGTGCGCTGCTTGGAGTGTTCATCTTTTTTGACAATGCTGCAAACAGAAAAAAAATCGGATATCTTTATTAGTTTTTAAATGATGTCCGAGTCGATTAATATATTTTTATAATTAAAATAACGCTAATATTTTCTTAATGCAACATATAAAATATATATATGTACACAATAAATGAGCTTTATTGTATATCTTTTAAAATACGTATACGTGTGTATATATTTCAAAATAAATATACGTATATACATTGTTTAAGTATTATATTTATGTAAATATGAAAAAAATATCTGCTATCTTAATTTTAAGTTATATACAATTTCGGGAGAAATCTATTTAATTTCTATTAAAAATATTTTTTTGTATTGTACATTGCAAATAAAATGTTGTCTCATAGAAACTTTGTAAAAATTAAATATAAATTGAGAGTGTCAAACAGGCAATAAGAGCCAAATCGCGGATGACAGTGCGTTATCCCAACGAAACTAAATTTTTTCGTTAGAATTTAAAAACCTGTGCACAAGGCACTAAATTTTACTTGGTCACGGCCAAGATTTACAATTGGAATAATCTCTACAAGAGATTTCTATACATCCCCTGTTCCCCATTTAAGGAAATAAATGCGAGAGAAAAATATAGATCCGAAAGTCGCTGAATCGGGAATCGAACCCCAGACCTTTCGCTTGCCGAGGGATCCTTTAGGGATCCTTTAGGGATCTGAATAGGTGGGTTGGAAGAGTAGTCGCCCGGCAAGCGAAAGGTCTGGGGTTCGATTCCCGATTCAGCGACTTTCGGATCTATATTTTTCTCTCGCATTTATTTCCCGATTCAGCGACTTTCGGATCTATATTTTTCTCTCGCATTTATTTCCTAAAGGGATCCTTTAGGGATCCTTTAGGGATCTGAATAGGTGGGTTGGAAGAGCAGTCCTTTAGGGATCTTTTAGGGATCTGAATAGCTCAGTTGGAAGAACAGTCGCCCGGCAAGCAAAAGGTCTCGGGTTCGATTCCCGATTCAGCGACTTTCGGATCTATATTTTTCTCTCGCATTTATTTCTTTAAGGGGGGAACAGGGGATGTATAGAATTGAATCTCTTGTAGAATAATTCTACAAGAGATTCAATTCTATACATCCCCAACAATTTTAAATCTTGGCCGTGACCAAGCAAAATTTAATGCCTTGTGCACAGGTTTTTAAATTCTAACAAAAAAATTTAGTTTCGTTGGGATAACGCACTGTCATCCGCGATTTGGCTCTTATTGCCTGTTTGACACTCTCAATTTATATTTATATTTATATTACAGTGCCTTGTTAAATTTTTAATTTGTAAAAATTATCTCTGTAATTCTCAAAAATTATATTATTAAAATTTGTAATGAAATGATGAGATATTTTACACAATAATGTACTTTTAATCTGTGCAATCAACCAAATATTATAGCTGTGTTATACACATAATTAATAGCATTTAACGTTATATAGATATATGAATTGAACGATCAAACATCGAGCCTGTTCTCTCTTAGCTGTCTTATCCACCGCACAATTTAACAGTGAAAGGATTAATTGTCACGAGCGCAATACCGTGAAATCGCGATATTCGCTCGACAGAAAAAAGTCCGACGTTTAAGAAAAAAAAAAAATTGAAGGAGGAGAGAAAAAAGTCACGATTTTATCGTCACATAATGATCATGAATCCACGAGTTTGAGCGCAACAAATTGAAAGAAACGAGATCAGATCCAATAGAGTTATAAATTATATGTGCGTCCTCACTATATACATGACTTGTATCCCTCTATAAATCATATTGACGATAACGCGGCTGTAAAAAAAAAAATAGAGTTCCTACGACTTTAGCTTCGCAAGTGGCAGAATTTTAAGAATAAGTCTCATTTAACTACAATCGATTTAAATTTTTTATAGCAATTATTTATGTCACTTTTTTACAGTAGCTATTGCGTCTTATTATTTAATTGTTTAGTATTATTATTAATCATCGTATTAAAAATTACGCATTATGTAATAAATAACGATATTCCTAAATTGAAACTATTAAACCAAATTTATAATTTGCATAGTTGTAGAAGCCGTCTTGTCGGAAACATCAGATTTTTTTCTGATATTTAGATAAAAAGAGAATTATGTCTCGAAATGTAAAAACTACGTGCAACACATTAAACGACAGTAATTGCATCTTTGGCCGGAGTTAAAGTGGAGCAGGAAAGTCTTCTTCCAGGATCATAAAAAAGAGCTGAAAATAATTTGTGACTCACAGCAGAAGCGAAAACATATGCGCGATAAAAGGAGAAGAGAGATCAAATGCAAAAACGCCACAACAGGGCATAGAATATACACGTCACATTTTTGTAGTATAAGCGTGTGACGTATTAGAAGATCCGGTTTTCTTGGAACGCTAGTAGGAAACTGGCTTGGCACGTGTCGAAAGAAATGTAAAAAAGTTCTCAAAGAGAACAGAAGAAACGAGAACAAGGCATCCAAAAATAAACGCGACAACAGACAGAAGTTTGAAGAGTCTATGATGAGATGATGACGTATAATAATAAGTATATATACGAAATAAAGTCGGCACCAAATAAAGTCGGCGCCAATTATAGACGTCTATAAATTGAAATAAATGAATTCTACAAGTTGTGGAAAAAAATACGTCAACGCGCGGCTTCTAAAGATAAATCGGACAACCCAACTGTGTTTTTATTCCAAAGATGTTTTCAGCAGGAATATAGAGACCTATTCAGGTAACATCGCGGGCGAGAATCTCAAGGTTGTCGAAATTAATTTCATCCTCTTAAAATAATCTTTATTTACATCTTTATTATGCACCTCTATATAAAAAGCTACAAAATATATCTCTTTCTCTTCTAGAGGACAGAAGTTACTTTTCTAGCATATTATACTTTCTTTCAAATAAATGCATTCAACACGCGAAAATATCAAATTTTCGCGACTCTTCAAACTTCATGATCTCGAATCCCGATGCATCTTCCCGATCGACTTCTGCGTTCTTTTCTTCTTACTTCCTCTCTCTCCCGACGATGATGGTCGTGCGACCGCTTCCCAGCCGATCTTCAATGAAGATTGCCGACTATCCGGTCCTCCCGTGCGTGTTTCTTCTTCTGGTTCTGTGTGTTGACCGTTCGCGATGCAGGTAAGTTTGCATCGACAACCATGTGTACGGACGATATAACGCAAATTGATTATGTCGAGAAATATCAAAGTCCCTCGAGGATATCAATAATGTCGCGATGTAACACAATATTCCAATACCTTTTTAATTAGTAGTACCAATAAGAAAGCGAAAACAATATTTGATTGATGAAATAGTCGTGACGATTATTTTTCTTCCACGATGATTCTCATTAAGTTAATTGTTTGGCTGTTATCCACAATCCCTCGAGAGTGGGATAAAATACAACGATAACAAACTGGCTAGCCTAATGGGCATATAATCCATCAGCGTATCCTTTTCTTCTCGAAGGTCTCAAAAATGTTTTTTACGCCAACAGTCTTGTCACTTAATGAATCACGGATACATGGTCCATTTATAATACGGCAAAGCACTAGATAATCAACTATAATTAATGTTTTCGAACTAATTCTGCGAAACAATTCCGCGGAAAAGATAACGCTGTAATTAAGTCTAAGCGAAATCTTTAAAAGGAAACAAATGGATTCGATGAGGTTCGAGAGAAAAATTATCTCATCCCGGTCTCCTCCGAAAGATAGATCCATTAAAATTCATAAAATTATGAATGTACACATTTTCAATCTTAAAATAAGGGATTAATTAACATAAGGGAAATATGTATGATCGTGATTAAAGGTTATTTAATGAGGACCCGATAAAAGGAAAATATATAACATTCGTCATCAGGTTTTCATTAAAATACCTAATTACATGACCTTACATATTTTCCTATAAGGCCTTAATATAATTGTCTAAAGATCTAATTATGGCTCTTATTGGGACCCTATCTTAATTTCCAGTCGGGTCCGAATTATTCAATATATTCGTATATCCCGTAATGGAACACAAGTTGCATGCACGCAGATTCTCTCGTTTGCGAACATTCTAAGGAGCCCCGAGGCGTCGCCGAGCATCGCGATTTTCCCTCCTCGTTTCCATTACGCGCCGAGTGATTCTTTTGTAATTCTTTTTTAATTAAGCATGCGCGCGAGAGAAAGAGAGAGGAAGGAGAAAAACGTTTCTCCGCCTCGCCGCGCCTGTTCGATAACTGACCGGTTCTACTTGCGAGCGCGGCAAGACTGCGTGCCGCTATCTAATTTTCTGCTCGTGACTTAGATCGAATAACGATGGTCTTCCGTACGACTCGCTGCACGTTCAATTACTGAAACATCGCGAGGATAATCGGATTTCGCAAACAGGCCTCTCCGCGCACCGAGCTCGCAATTTATACGATAATTAATAAGTACCTGCCGATCGTCCGGCAATAGTCACCTGGCCGCTGGCAGTGGTCATTCGAGTTCGATTTTTATCCCGCTTGACTCTTAGAGAAATCCGTGTACCTATATTTTTTTTTTTTTTTTTTTTTTTTAATATACATACATCTGATTGCCGCGATTTTATCATCTTGTTAAATTCTTGCGTTAAAGATATAATCAGAATTTATCAGTCTGTCGAAAGAAATAACTTGTGATTCGATGAGAAAATATTTTCATATAAGGGTGCTAATTAGATGATAAAAGATTTTTAATAAATATATATGTGCATGATATATATATATATATATATATATATATTTAAAACTTTTCCGAGATTGACGAAACTCTTCATGTATAAATAAATGATTCAGATAATTCCTAATTATACGCTATTATAATAGCGTTTAAAGGGCCATACGTCTTATCTTCGCTGTAAAGGAATATAAATACGCGACCTGCCAAGGTCATCGCTGGTTCGCTCGGATCCAAGGTCACCCTTCTTCAGCGTCTTCAGGAACGAGCACGCTAACTCGACGATCATCGAGCGGGGCCGTTCGTTTTCTTCTCGTCGTCGACTTCC